CCCCAGATGAAAAAGTGTAACAGTAACCCTTACAAGTTTGGTTTGGCGTTAGAAGTTACACGTTGACCTCGTTTGATTCCTTGGTCATAATTATGGGTCTAATTGGATGGGTTGTACATCGACTGCCATGTTACTGTGATATCCACATACAAGCTTAAAAGAAGAGGCCTTGATACCGTAAAAGGAAAAAGAGAGCATTCTCCTCGAAGAAAGAGAATTGTGACCAGCGAAGTACATAGTGGAGGTCGTTGGAGATTGATTCCATACTACAGAAAAGGGCTGATGGGATTGGGATGATGGGGGATTCACGTGAAAGCCTGGTCTGATATTATACAACACCTACCACTGACAGTGATCTTCACGTGCATCTCATCTTGTGAACACTGCATGTATCCGGAGGACCTTGAACTGGAGAAAGAAAGAAACAAAAAAAAAAAAAAAGGGTTTGCACTGCCCATGCTCCCTTCCTGCATCATAATACGAATTATCACCATCTTCCACTCGGACTACATCTTCATCATCCTCTTGTTACACAGACCAACTATTCTTCCTACACAGTAATAACCAGTTCTGATGGTTTGACCCTCACTGCTTTACTGCAAATAAGACCTTCCGGAACGGATGCAGCTTTAAATCCTTGTATTTAGTCACTGAAAAACTAAGCAAATTGAGAACGCTAGTCAGTACTTTAACTGACACCACGCCGTTATGGTCAATCTGTTGCAGCATAATTGCAATAAGATTGTCACTAATTTTTTTTGTCTTCACAATTGTCTATAGATGACTCAGACATTGCTAGTCCATGTAAAGGATACACAAGTGTAGCATAAGGCCGGACGAACACAAATATCACCAGCAAATATATACTACCACAATCTAAATTTGGCTTGCCAAGATAAAGGTAATTCCATAACACCAGTAAATGAACACCTACCATATGCTTTGGCCAGGAGGATCTTTCTGCACCAAATCAAACAGTACAAACATTTATCGTACAACAAGTTTATAACTAATAAATACATGATCTCAACCTCGAATAATCAATAGACAAGCAGAAGCTGCCAAGAATTCACCTGACGTCGGCATAAAGTTAATAAGATGATGTTTAGCCTGCAACATTTGTGGTCATTCTTGATGAGAAAACTCCATGTTCACACAACATTTCGAATATAGATTTTGTAACAAGGCATTAGCATAATTGATACATACTAACTCTTAAATCAACCATTGACATATAAAGAACATTGACCACATTCACTCGACGATGTAAACAATCCTACACCTGGAGAGCAAAGTTTTTTGACCTATCTTTCAACAACCAAAGGCAAAAGACTAAGGCAACATTGCTTTCAAGATGTGAAGGTCCAAATGAAGTCACCCTTTCATCTCATTCCTGTCCCAAACAGCAAAGTGCGAGGAACAATAAGAAGCACATGTTTCCATATAACTTGATATTACATTTATAATCACCATTTATAAATTCTTTTGTAAAAAGGAGAGACATGTCCATCAAACTCCATTGTAACTAGTTGGCCTACAAGTTTCTAGTAATACCTTCCAAATTTCATGAAAACATTGAATAACTAAATTTTAATAGCCACCACTAACATCATTATTACATAAGAGTCCAACAGTAGAAGTCAGACTCACACTTATCAGGTAGTAGTCCGAATAGGCAAGGCATCCAAATTGGTGGAGAGTTTAACATGTAAACAAGTTTAGTAGTCTGATTACGTATATATATATATAGGGAAGAAAGCTGTATGTAATATCACTCAAAGCACTAGACAAAACTGACTTGGGTGTTATATCGGATATAACATTTGTCAAGATGATTTGTTTTCCATGGTAGACACCAACTTTAGAGCCTAGAATCAAGGATTTTACAAGGATGCAACTGTCTTAAGTCATATCCATGCCCAACTCATTGTTACACCCAACATAAACTCTTTGAGAAAAAAAAAAGAAAATTTAAGAGAATATGGCCACAGTAAGCTGGAACTATGCATCTCAGCATGGTGGCACTTAATAAATAAACAAACAATAGATGAGAATATGATAGCCAAGCTACACGTTAATCATCTAGATTCTGGATCCACTATGAATGAAAGATATAGACTGAAAAACAGATGCATGTTCTCTCTTAGTTACCTTTCATTTTCCAACGCTTCCATCAAATAAACCACATGCAATTACACCAAATAATGAACCTAACAATGCATAATAAGAAATAATTATATGCCTATCAATATACGATCCATGTGAAGGCAATCACTCTGTTTACGGGTGTACGACTGCATAAGATTGTAGGAGCCTAATGCACTAGGCCACCCTTTATTACCATTTGGTTCACATCAGAACGTCACAGTGAACTGACATGGCACTTGTTCATTATTGTATAAATCTAAAGCTCATAGGATCAGGACTAGCAAAGAAATTTGTATGTACAGATTCACAAATCGAAAGCACAGATTTGTATGTACACTTTTCTTTTAAAATACATCATTTTTCGTTTGCTTCTTTTCTTATATTTTTTTGAACATTTTGATTTTTGAATTTTCTTATGCCAATCCTCATTGATTGATCTGGTCCTACCAATCTTGCAAGCCTTGCATTATAAAATACTATAGAATACTAAATTACATCATACTATATATTATACTGTGCTAACTACACAAGTACAGGATAGTGTACATGCATAATATATTATGCATGTAGACTAGAGGCATATTCTGTACGTGACTTTTAAGTTAATTATCATTTTTTCTTTAAAAAATACATGCATATTATACCCTGTAGCATAAACTATACTAAATAATATTATATGCTATACATTACAAGTTATATTATACTATACTTGTACAGCACTTAGCATATAAAATTGGTCCTCACAGTCTGACAGATTGTCCCGCCATACCAGTTTTACCTGACATTACAAGGATTCTAGTATGGATTGTGTCCAATTCAACCAAAGATCATGACTACTAGTTCATCTAGACATGATTCTATCCATTCGCTAAGAATGAAAAGAAAGATGAAAGCCACAACATGCAGCAGCCATTATCAACCAGATGCACAATAAGGACATGGAGGAAGAATCAAAGGAGACAAAAGGGACGAGAAATGGTGGTACTCGTTTGCACTACAAACTGCTGCTATGTAACAAATAGAGAGGTAAGTCCATGGGATCTAATTTTGCATCACACGGTAGCATACTCGTGGGAGAGTAGGTCATGGTGTGAAAAAAATAGAAAGGGAAGGGAGAAAAAAGGGAAAAGGGGAGAACAAACAAGATAAGAAGAATAGAAGAGTAGAAAATAGAAGAGACAAAAAATATAATAGTTGAAAAAGTAATGATTAGTCTTATAAATAGGACCTATTTGTCATAGAATACACATTTGTAGTTTCCAGAAATTAATTTATAAAGGCATAAAAAATACATTTTGTTTTGTTTTAAATCAGAATTTCATCCCTGTACATCAGAATTGAGTCCTTTTTAGGTTATATCCTCGTATATCCCAGATTAGTTCGACAGCCATGATAAACACTATGATCCCTACTGCATTTTGACATAAACGCACACACAAGTCTGAGATGAAGCAGCAGAATATACAATTTCCCATCCCACCTTGGCTCCAATGATCCCTCCACATTGACCACTCACCAGCAGATACTGGGATGCAACTACTTCGCAAAGAGCTATGGCATCCTGGATGTCAGTCACACTTGTCAACTTGAGGAGGTGAGAAACAGAGATAAAAGGTAAAGAAGTTCATCGCACAGCAAAGTTAGCATAATTGTCAGCTAAAGAATTCTATAATTGTGACTTTGTTTTTCCTCCCAGTTGTATGGCAAAAGCAACCAGCCAAAAGATTCGTGCCAACATTGTTGTAATCAGCATAGCAAATCATAAGCTTCAGTCATCTACTAGAGTTTTGACTATTTGAGTGGACATTACAACTAGCCGACCATCCAAACCAACTTGGCTTATTCTTTGGGACTATTGTAAGGTAACAGCTCAGAAACAAGTAGTTATGGAGATGATCCAAAAGCCAAGCAGCACCAGTGCATATTTTGATGGAAGGTTATATAGTCTCTACACCTCACATGATTTCTTATAGCAAACTAGTATAAGAAAAATACAACATGACATTGACTTTTCTAAAACATCTGCCAGATTATATTTCAGTAGGACTTCAGACATTCATTTGTTATTCAGTGGCAAAGAAGTTGCAACAGTAAGAAAAATTATTCAACTTAATGTGGTGAAAGCATGCAAACAGAAATAAACCATAACAATTCATGCTTATCAAATTTAAAATGAACTCCACAACATAATCCATTTCTCCAGATTAATTCATTGCAATTCCATTGTGCAAGTCAATATTCAATTTATAAAGGATATTTACATAACGGTGATAACCAAGGAAAAACAAAGTCTTAGCAGAATGCCATGTAATGAAGTGAAACAAGAATGATTTTGAGATAAACAATTCAGGAGATCTACCTTACAGAACGGTGGTGTAGGGATTAGAGAAAGCATGCTGCAGCTACAACAGCCTCATTAACCAATGTAAGTGATAAAAATTTGGATGAGTCAATGAGATATATTGAATTTCACATACTATTGATTTTAAAACCTGTAAAGACAAGCAATTAGCAAGAAGCAATGCTGTAAGTTGGACCAAAAGCTATATCGACCTTTGACTTCAAAGAATTAATTCATCATCCTGATGCTCAAAAGAATGAGGAAAAATAAATCCTAAGTCAATTTCAAGGCAAAGAGAATGTCTAGGATACAACTTTTGGCGACATCTCCATAGAAACTCTGCTCCCCAAGTGACTAGGCAACCAAAGATGCAAAATGATCATGTAAAGGACACTTTAAAGCATGATAAGGCAGAAAATTCAGCAACAGTATCATACTGTACAAATGACAATGCATAGAAGATGTTAAGATCTCATCAAGCTCCAATCAAAACCAGCTAACGAAGTCCACATAGCCAAACTGACAATCCATAATGGAAAGATAGATTTTGAACAGCATTGAACATTACACTAAACAGAGAGACTGAGTTCCAAGAACAGAAGAAATATCAAGTCAAAAGATAAGGTCCAAAATCCATACATCCATAAACAACGAGAAAACTAATAAAGTTGCAGTATTCGAACAACTGTTGCATTGGAAGCCTTTCTTGATATCCGGCGCCGATAGACATTGAAATGCCATGTGATCTTTAAATGACATGAATAACCACGGTCTCAGTATGAAACTAGAACAGAGGGAAGATCAATTAGCAAGAAAATCCAACAACAACAGAAAGTGTAAACCCACAAAAAGATCAGTTCTTAAGATCGAGAATTTCAGCAAATCAATCTATTTCATATATTTTATACCTAGAGTAATCAGTATCCACCCATTGGTCCAGTTGGTGGCCTTGACATAGGACCCTGCACTGCTGCAACTCCCTGGTAAGAAGTGCCACCTCCTCCTTGTTGAGAAACTGGCTGAGTTCCCTGGAAACCTGGAGGGCCTTGGAGCCCTGGTGAACCTTGAAAACCAGAAGCTCCCTGAAACCCAGTAGACCCCTGAAATCCTGGAGGTCCCTGATATGCAACACTTCCCATCCCATAGTTTGGCACCTGTGCCGCCTGCGGGATCACTGAAGAAGGCACAGCCTGTTGGCTCCCCGGGACACCAAATGCAGCAGCAAAAGCAGGGTTCAAAGAAGCAAGCATGGCTGGTGTGACTCCGAAAGCTGCCGGATTCTGCCCAGCTGCTGCCAGAAGAGTGAGCAATGCAGCATTTGGTTGCATTCCCGGAGCATAAGCTTGAGCCCCAGCCATGCCCATAAATCCCTGACCTAACATGGCAGCTTGCTGTGCTAACCCCATATCAGACGTAGTCCCAGCATAACCGGACCCATTGAGAGCTCCTGTGCTGGATGCGACACTTGGCGGTGTCGCAGCATTCTGAAGGGACGCTGCCTTACTCTTGTTATCAGTGGCCCGCTGGCAGTGGAGCAGATGGCCCTCAAAATTCTTGTTTGGCTCTTCGAGGGCCCTCAGCGCGCCATCCACCGTCTTATAGACAAACAGGGCGTACCCTTTCGGCTTCCCGGTGTGTCGATCAAAGCCGATGGGACCCTCCTCGATCTCGCCGTACTGGGAGAAAAAGGCAAGGAGGCGGCCGCCGTCGACGTCGGAATGGACGTTCCCCACATAGATCTTCCTCGAGATGTTGTCCTGATGAGAGGCGGGGCCAGGACTAGGATTAAGGTTTTGGTGGTGCTGCGGGGCGGAGTTGTGATGATGGGAGGACGGCGCGGAGGGGCCGGAGGAGGCCAACTGGCAGGAGGTCATGCGATTATCGATGAGCTTCTGGGGGCGGCGAAGGGCACGCCGAGCGGAGACCCGGTGGCGGAAGAGGACGAAGCCGTAACCCTTGGATCGGCCGCTACCCTTGTCGACGATGACGCGGCAGTCGTCGATGTCACCGTAGCTGCCGAAGGCCGCGCGGAGGCCCTCGGCGGTGGTTTCCCAGCCGAGACCGTGAACGAAGAGCTTGCGGTGTGCAGGATCGAGGTCGGCAACGCGGCGGATCTCCACGAGAGTGGCGGGGTCTGCGGCAGCGGTGGTTCGGAGGATGGCGACAAGCTGGTCCCTCGAGAGCGGCTCCAGCAGCTTCCCCACGTCATCGTCGTCATCGTCCTCGCCGCCTTCCTCTTCGTCAGAGGCCGGGGCCGGGGTATACACGACGGGCTGGTGAGGGGCCTGGGGGAGAAGTTCGCCGGCATGGTTTGGGGCGGCGGAGATGAGGAGCTCATCCTCTTGGTCGACCTTCCGCTTCTTGGTGGCCATCGATGCCAGGTAATGGGTTCGCTAGGGTTTGATCGGCTTTTCAGGGTTTTAGATCTCGGCCCCTTTTGTGGACCTTTTGCCTCCTCTTTGGGCCTTCTTCAAAGGGGGGCCTCTTTGGAATCTTACGGGTCACAACCAAGAGCACGAAATTAATTTCCTTAGACATTTCCATGTTTTTTGTTTCTATAAACAAAAAAACAGAAATCAATCTTTGTTTTTCTTTTTGTTTTCTTCCAGATTTACTAAAATGCTTCTGAAAATTTTGGAGGTAAAGAAGAAAAATATTTTTTTTTCCTGACCATTGCCATATTTCTAGGAGTCCTCTCATATGGAGGGAATTTAAATTGTTTCTAATATTTTCAAAAATAAGAAACATAAATTATTTTAAATAGGGATTTTAGTGGTCACCATTTTATTATATTTGGAAATCTCTTAGTTATTTCCAACTTCTTTACCTAATTTCAATTAGGTGATAAAAATTGGATGTATTAGAACAATTCAAAATTTTTGATATTTTTTATAAGTACTTTATAAAACCAACAAAAGAGACAAAGTTACTAAATTTGTTTTCTTACAAATTCTTCAGTTTTAAAAAGTAAGAAAACATAAAGCATAAACTATGCAGAAATGTAATCATGGAAGAAAAACCAGCATATTGATTTTTTATTTCTAATAACAGAAAATAGAACATTGGCATTGAAGTTTTCAGTAAATTTTTTATGTTGCTTCGAATAGAACATTGGCACCGAGATTTGCGAAATTGAGGAGTTTGATCTGAAGATACTACAACTCCATTAAAATTCACTGCTCCTAAGATTAACGGTGGCACTGGTATTCGAGATGTTCATACAACTAAGTCACAATCCAAGCTAAACACCAATTCTTTGTCCCTAAATAATAACAATATTTGTGGGTGAAGATTGCTAAAACTCAATATACACACATTCATTCTCGGCACATCAACATTTGGCATGAACTAGTGTTAGCTAGAACTCTTCCTTAGGGCCTTGAAAGTCTTAAAAAAGATAGATTTTTAATATTCTTACATACATTTAACTTTTGCTAAAATAATCTTCTATTATCTCTAATATGGAATTGTTGCTCTTACTGCTACTAAGAATCAGTAACTTATGGAAGTTTTTGCACCTTCACATTCTTATAACAAAAACTTAGATATTGATATTTTGATGACTTTCTTTTTTTTAATATTTATTTTTTTCAATGCAAATATGCTTGGGATCTTTAAAATGTTATACAACATAGGTTAGATTTAAAGTTGAAGATCTTTAAATTTGCTTAAAGAGGATCGATTTAGATCTAGTCGGCTCTCTATATGCATCAAGGCTTTAATTGTCACTTTTTTTAGCTTTTGTGGTGGACAATTTAATTTGCCTAAAGCCTCTATCAAAAATTATCCCCTCAATTATGGTTTTTATGAAGGGGGGTTATAGATAAAATTTCATCTTGGATTGGTTTTCTTGTTTTATCTCTTTTTGTATGTCTTTCAATATTTGATTGATTTTATTGATGTGATCCCGAACCCCAATTGGGAGTTTTGTTGATTGCACGATTGACTCATTTGGGATTTCTGATTTTGGTGATTTTATAGAGAAGAAGCACTTCGAGAGGCATATGAGCTAAGCAAGACTCAGCTACCAGGCTTGGAGACGAAATAGATACTAGAATGAGAGCTAGGAATGGTAGTGTGAATGAGACAAGTGGAGCTTGCTGGGTGAGCTTAGCTAGTTGGGGAAGGTATGAAACTACAATTATTCCGATCAAAACTTGTATTTATATAACTTGGGTATGCAAGGCTTCGATATGAACAATTAAAAGTCATCGAAAGAGGTTAGGATTTGTAATATGAGGAGATGGATTCAAATTAGATAACACTGAGTTGCCCCTGACTCAAGATCATTATTACTAAGGGATTTGGCAAGGGGGTGTTCGATGCTATGGGACTTGACCTGTTCACATTTAGGTCCTCAGAATTCGATCGAGATGGGCCTACAAAGTTTCCTTGAAACATGTTTGTTGATCTTCCTTCCATTGCCAATCTATTATAGTAAATTTTGATTGTCTGAGCTAGAAGCTAATTCGGATCCAAGATGAACTTATCAAGTTTTGTTCGAATTCTATAAAAACTACATTGGGGGTATTTTCGATAATGTCCTTTCAAAACTTAAGTCATATGATAAGTCAAACTTTTGACATTTAGTATCTTGAGATGTACTTATGCATCTCCTTTTATAATGGGTGTTTACTATTATCGTCACTCATTATATAGTTCATGTAATAATAGGGGTATGGAGTTCGACTATAATTACCATTAGCTTACACCCAAGATTGCATGACCCGTCTCCACATGACATTCATTAGGTGTAGTCAATCGACTTCACACTATAGGTGGTCAACATGACACTGGATGATTAGTTAGGTGGCTCTGATGTGTTGACAAGATGGCATTGACATGTCGACCACTTGGAGCCAATTGGTCGATCACATGAAACCATTGTATCTTCTATGTAGCATTGATATTTCGACTACGTGGAATCAGCTCGTCAACCATGTGACCTCATCAGGTCGATCAAGCGTCCCTAACAACTTAACCATGTAGAAATAAGTTGCTGAGAAGGAGTCGACGTGTCAGGCGCATGGTGCTGATGTGTCAATCACGCCCATTTTTCCCATAACAATAACTAAAATCCTTGCTATGAAGTTATAAATAATAATGTCAGATCAATCTTTAGATGATTCTAAAATTGCCTCATATGTTTTAGCTATGTGATCCAAAAATTCTTCCAAGCTTCAACGCAAGCCCACAAGGCCTAATTGATTTATTTAGATCAATTTAACCTCATAAAATTCACAAACAAAAATCCTCCACCATGATAATGATGTCGAAGTGTTCAAACGAGTAAAAGGCTATTAGGCGAATTGCCTCTGAACCCTTCAAAAGTGTTTGATCCACCAAATAATGTGAAGTGTTTGGCATCCTCGTTAAAACTAAATGGCAAAAGTGTGTGTCTAAGTTAGTGAGTTTCATATTTATCTCTCTAAATTTAAGTTATCATATATTCCTAGAAAAAGAATTACTTTGATCGTTAGCACGTTAAAATTGAATTTTACAGTAGTATCGTTCAACAATATTGAGAAACATGATAGACTAAATAATTATTGAAATTATATAAAATATTTTAAATTTTAAAAAATAATGATAATCACAAGGCCTAATATTTAATTTAAGTTTATTGAATGGGTATACGGTTCTAAGTGAAATAGTAATGTTATATTATTTAATTATGTGATTATCAAATATTTTTAGGATTAAAAGAAAAATAATGAATGATTTATGGTTTTAAGTGTTGAGTAGTTAAAACGTAACATATATAAAATACTTATATTGTTGAGATGAGAATACTGATGAGATTGATGTATCGAATTATTAGGAAAGATATAATTTTTTTATTTGTTAATAACTAGATATAACTCCGATAGAGGATAATTAGAGCAACTCATTAAAATTTTAATCTTTAAGGTGATACATGAGATAATATTTTTTTATTTATATTATGACAATTCCTTTTTGCCCCAGTAGAGTAACTTGAGCTAAATAGGTTAAATTCAAATTAATATAAGGGAAAATTTAGTTTTATTTATTAGATATCAATTATTCTGTCAACTGAGGATGAGTCTTAAAATAGAAAAGATACATAAACCCTTTTCTCATCCATCAACTTAAATCTTTTAGATAAATCTAGTGATAGTAAACTGCATAACAAAGAAAAGTATTGTTATATATTTTAATCTTTGAGGAAAAAGCTACATATATTTTCCAGTCAGTTCTAGTTTAGTGTTTTTACCGTTGTTGAATCAGAGACCAAAACCTTAGTTTCTTGCGTTCCTGCATGCAGTAGGCACTGCTGAATAAATGGCTCAGCAATGATCCGTTTCTCTGGGAGAAAGCTTCGAAGACTCCTGACATGGAAAAGGTTTGAGTTCCTCTGTAGCTTTGATGGCAGACACTAGTCGAACAGCAAGCTTTTCTTCTTCCTCTACGAGAGAGAGAGAGAGAGAGAGAGAGAGAGAGAGAGAGATTTTGGAATCCAAATAATGCTTTGGATATCGTGCTCTTTGATGGACAAAAAATTGCGATAAAGTGCGAGAACTGTTTACAGCTTCTGACTTTGTGCTGCGCGTCAAGGCACATCCAAAATGCTAAAGGGGAGTGCCCTTCGTTAGTAGTGGATTCGGTGGCCTACGAAGGCAATGCAATAGTGCAGCCGAGGTGGGAACTCTCTCTCGGCCCTCGAAGAAAAGGCCAGAACTGTGTCAGCCACTACATCTTGATGGTCTTCTGCAATCATAATAGACTAGGAAGCCTCATTTCTGATGAATGAATGGCTTCCTCCACTAGACATAGTAATCATGCAATATGGGATCTCATCAGAAACAAGAAATAGGAAAGAAAAAGAAAAGCTCAACAGTTTCTATCACCCACAGTATACTCCCCAAATGATACCTAGGATTAGCAGAAGCACAGTGTTCTTCTAGTCTCTTTTGCTAGCTTGTTTGTTTTTGCTGAGGTGAAGCTCTAAACTGATGGCCAAAGGGGATTTTCTATGATTCTACAAGGTTCAAAACCTAGCCAATGGATACATCAAGTATGCATCTACAAGTAATATATTCACCTATGCATGTATATATGGATATAATTTTGGTAATACTTAAAATATTGGTCTGATAATGCATGAGACACGCTTACAGAAGTTTGAGATTTCGAAACCTTATCTAATATAATTCTCACATGTTAGTGTCTCTTTACACCATGGCTGGGGAGTCAGCATGGCTAGGTTTGACTCCAGACGCGTAAGGTTGTCCGGTCTAATGCTTGGGTCTCAAGGGCAAGTGTCGACCTTCCCCGAGAGTGATCTTCTCTCTTAGTGGGTGGCCTGCTTCTTCGGACTCCTGCACATAGGTCGAGGTCGGGAGGGGGATTTTCCGACTCGACCCTTCCGAAGCTTAAGTTAGTTTTTTGGGTGAATGAGAGAGAGTAGAGTGCTTGAGTAGAAAAAACCTCCTCCATGTTGGTCAGACAATGAGTTTTTATGCCCACACACGGGGGTCGACTATACCCGACCTCTTAATGGCTGTCGACTTCTTAAGCGGCGAACCCATACCCTTTGCGCTGATACTGATCATCCTACACGGATCGGCGTCGAACGGTACCATCCCGATCTCATCGGGGCAGTGTCGTACTCGAGCAATGTCGTTCCGATCTTTGCGGGACGATGTCATACCCGAGCGACTCTATCCCGATCTTTACGGGATGACGTCATACCCGAGCAGCGTCGTCCTTATCTTTGTGGGGCGGCGTCGTTTTCGAGCTGTGCCTCTTGCACAACTTTGTATGGAGGATATATGTGTCTTCTGAGTTCGAGGCATTGTGTTGACGTGGTTTGCCATGTTGACTTCGAAGCTCTTCGTTAGTGTTGATGTGGTTGTGGATGGCTACCCGAGGGCGTGCTACCAAATTGTGCTATATCATCACCTATGAAAATTAATTCGGAGATAATGCATTAGACCTACTTATCAAAGATTTAAGGCATCATTTTATAATTTTTATATCAAAAACCTTAATTGATAGTAGTGTATAAGACTACTTATCAAAGATTTGATATTGACCATCTCCAATAACATTTTTTATACCTAGAAAATATTGTGTATCAGACCGATTTACTAAAGTACCCAAAGTATCAAATCGTATTAGTTATATGCCTTGAATAATAAATCCTATATATATATATATATATATATATATATATGTATATATGTAGTCTTTTTTAAGACAGTTTAGTCCATGAGTTAGATGAGAAAGAAATGCTGAAAAGATTTAATCCTTCACACATGGAATAAGCTGATGATAGTTGGTATAATTAGGGCTTGTGGTTGCATATATTTTCTTGCGTCTCAATTTAACATGTTCAGATATGGTTTTAGACAACTGGGATCTTTTTCTGTGTTCCTCTCCGTTCTGCAGATCTACACCAAAACATCTCAAAAAGCAGAAAGCACCACCCATGCAAAGAATCTTAGTCATTTGGCATTTCTAATATTATCCTCAGATGCCTCTTTACCTGGCTGACCTCCTTTTCCAAGCGACTTTGCTCTTTTGACAGACTAATTTGATATAAGACCCATAGATCTGTGCTAGAAAAGCATGGCAAATGTATCCTTGGTCAAGAAAATAGAAAAAGGAACTCATTTAGTCAATCAAAGTGCATTGTTATGTAGTTAAGCTTGACACAGCAAAGGGACAGCAGTGCAGACATTGCTGTTTAGATTGAATCAGTACCCCACATAGGGCGCACTAACATTTGCTTACACTGCATAATTGGCTAAGAGAACGGTGCTTTGAGCTTATCTTTCTTTAGTCGAGCCTGTGTAGCTTTTTAAAGCTTTTGATCTTTTGACACAGAAGAACAGCAAACCACACTTACGTCGTACGCAATTGATGAAGAGTTTGGATAGAAGGTGGCAGTGACACCACCCGAAAAAGCCAAAGGTGATGGGACAAAAGGCATTTATAGTCTCAATGAAGAAAGAAGTGGTAAGGTATACGGCATCCTTCTAGCTTCAGTTCATAGGGGTGTCACCTACATGGAAAGTTTCTGAAGCGGCTCATGAACTCATCATTAATTGTTTGCATCATGGAATCCGATAGATCTTGATATCCACTGAAGTCCGGGGTTCCATTTATTTCCAAGCATAGGTAACAATTCTCATCTTGCACAAACATTTTAGGCCTAAACTTTATCTTACTATTTCCCTATCGGTAACAAGTCAACAATCTATCCACCACAAACATTAATCTTTTTGTTATCTTTGTTAGTTTTTGAGAATATTAATTTCTTTTCAATTTTATCGGATGTTAATTTAAAGGACTAGAAGAGTTGAGATAAAGAAAAAATCCATTATTACATATTTATATAGCTATATAGAATTTATTCACGATGAATGAAATCTACGTAACTTTGTTCTTGAAATATATGAATTCATGAGATTAATATCCCTATAAATAATTTATGTTCGAGTTTTTTTATGGTAAACCCCATTGAGACTAGTCAAGATGTCACTGATACATACCTTACAAAAGTGAACTTATACAACTCATCAAAAGTTCCACACCTTAATGGTTGGATTTTGTTAGCCATAAACCAGATCTGAACTTGTAGACATGCAATGCTCAATCCTAAGTATGGCTTTGAACCCCAAGCTTCCAACTTGCTTCTACTTTTAGGCTCATTAAGAGTGTCCTTGATGCATCATGCTCCTTTAAGCTACTGTTATTGCTTAATGCCTAAGGGTCAATGGCTGTCAACTACCTTAAAAGGTTAGCCACTATGTATATATCTTAATAGGAAGTGCACATAGAAGAGCTTATCACTTCCATCTTCCATTTAACACCTACCTCTCTTCCCAACTTCCAAATTCAATTGATACTGCCTTCTCTCTCTCTCTCTCTCTCGATCAGACTCGCCATTTCTGAGCAGATCAAAGCGGTTAACTCTTTTTCTTTATTGTAATAATTCCATGTTCTCGTCGTTCTATCTTGATTCTTGTTGTTACTTTTCTTACATATGGAGTTCTACAATTATATTTTCGATCATGTCTAATATCCATATGAAATCTCATGCCTTTTGTGATAATCCGAGTCGATGGTGCCATATATTTGCAAACCAAAGAGAAAGGTAGTACGTGTAGTCTAAATTGTGTACATATCAATATCTTGTCAAGCAGAAAAGGAAAAAAAAGGAGAAAGAAGAACAAAAAGCTTTCTTTCATAAGCTCTAAAGCTATGGTTAGAGGGGGGGAAACAGTTGTTATTGGAAACCAAGTACCAACAAGAATCACAAGTGTCAAAAGTCCATTTCCCAACAAAGAGGAAGAAAGGAGAAAAGGAAGGTTGAGCAAAGAAATACATGATCCGAATCTTGTAGTTACTGATAGAAACATAAAGAGTTTTACTTCGTTTACTCTAGTGAAGTTGGACTCTGTGCAAGTGTGCATGTACCATCAGAAGAAATTGGTATGAGATCTACATCTTATATCCACCAGTAGTAGTGGTAGTCTGCTCCTTGTAAAAAGAGATTAGCAGACCAAAAGCAGATCTATTACTAAGTTTTGTTTCTAAGGAAAAGATTTATACAAAAACTTCTCATCTTTACACTCATGTATGCCACACACTCTTCAAAGATCAACTTTGTTTTATCGACGGAAATACTTCTATTAAGAGTGGACTTGAAATGATCCAAGCCTTATCAACAGCATGATAAAGCTATCAATTCCCTTCTCTTTTTTTGATTGCTTGAATTATAACTCCGTTTAATGCACGCCCATTGTGTTTCTACAATGAATAGGAAGAAGCAAATTGAACTCGAAAGTATACTTACTGCATTCCCTCTACACTAGCAATAAGCACCACACGTTTGTTTCTGAGAAACGAAGCTTGCACGAAGAAGATCATCATCGTGGAAACCAAAATACCAAAGTTGGGATGGAGACTAACTATACTAATCCTCCACATATCGAGTGCACTTGTTCATGTAGCATTTAGGAAGGATTAATATATTTAGACTTTTTCATTTTTAACTCGATTTAAGATTATTAGAGTAATCTTACCATGACGCTAGCCATGGCTTGTCTAAAGCTTCTCTGAGTATAATGCTACAAAGCTCAACATTCCATTGGCAGATGGAAAAGAAATGGTGGGATGGGGTGGTGCTTTTTATCTCCAATCAATATGCAACACATTGTTGTGGAAGTGGCAAGATTGCTGTAAAGGTTCCAAGTTATTGCCATGAACTTGGAATCATCACACTATTTTACTCTGTGATAGAAACCATCCACTAAAATTCATCAGAATCCCGCCAATTAAATTGGCACAACTAAAGGCTCTCAGCTGTTGTGATGGCTCATTTGCTGTCTCAACCTTATACTGTGCCGACGCAGGGTAAGTCCACCAGCGCGTTCAAAACAGCGGTTGCTGACGTCAGACGGGCGCGCATGTGCTGGGCAGTGCGGAGGGAGCAGGATAACGGAACGTCTATCCGCGGCGAAGCTTTCTTCCCTTTCCCGCGACACGCCATTAAAACGACGGTGGACGACAAAGGAGCGGAAGTGGGCTTTGGGAATCTGCTCTTGCGTCTCTTGGTTCGCTTCCTCTGCTTCCTCCGTTTCTCCTCGCTCCTTCTCCCTCTCTCGGATTAAGGCGCAGCGAGAGAGAGGGAATGGCGGCCGCCGGGGTTTCCCAGATCGGGATTGGGCTTAAGGTTTTGCTATCCGTGGTGGAATCCCGGTTTCGCGGGGCTCTGAGGCAGCTCTTGGAGTGATCTCGAGGTCAGATTGTTCCTCTTTTATGACTGAGGATTTTTTTCTGCGATTTCTTGGAGTAATTTTTTAATAAGGAACTCTTGGTAGATTGTCTAACAAAATTTACTGGAAAATTGCCATTTACGAAATAAGAAAATTTAGATCAGGAGGACTTTTTGAATAAAAATTGAAGTATACTAATATGTATCTCATTCTCTGATATGAGATGGTAAATATAAATAGAATAAACCTTTTGATTGCTTTTATGTCACATAATTGGAACATGTTTTGATGTCATAGGTGGCCGTTTTCTTGCTTCTTGTGGTTGTTATGGTTTGAGTACTTCCATATTAATATGGTGGGTACTGGGTAGTATGTACATAAAACGCCCTTCAGCTCTGATATTTTTCGCAACACAAATTGTTCCAGCATCTTTGTTAGGACTTGTGAAGGAAAGTCATGACTCATTTACAGTTATGTACAACCTGGAAGGGAGAAAATTATTATGGTTTTCCCTGATGGAATTGTCTCTATGAAATTAAATAATTTGTAAAACCCAAATCAAATTTGAGAGATGAGGTCCTGTGTGTAAGTCTGATATAGTCAGAACAGGTCTTCTGAGATAGTAGAAAGAAACCATGTGGCTGCATTATATAAAGTAATCAAGTGACTTAGGGATGGTTCTGTTGTGTTCAGGAGCTCTCAATGAGCAGTTTTACAACTTGTTGTAAATAACCCTACAAAATTTTATTTATGTGCTCGTAGAAATGTGACTTTTCTATCTGTTGGCAATTATTAATTGACATAACAAAACTGAGTTTTGTTAATTAGGTAAAGTTTGACTATAACATTGAAAATGGCACAAACAATGTGGATGCCTAAGCTATTGATTTGGTCATTGGGTTTTACTTAGCTAGTTGTTAAGCCAGACCCAACAAAATCTTTGATATATTCGCTACATAACCATAGCTTCAGTCTTATTTTGGAAGCTCATGACAAAAATTTTATCCTGACATATTGAGGTGTTTTTGACTTTCTGAGTTACCAAGGTCCATTGCGACTCCTTACTACATGCCATTATGAGATCTATTAAATCCTTGATGCAATTGCACCTTGAACATTTTGTCTGAAGGAAAATATGCTTGAATCAGTAAAATATTTAACTTGTCCATTGCCTTTCCATATAAGTAATCTTCTCCTTTCGGTCTAAACAGTAGAAGCTCTACCTTTCCATTTACAACCTCGAGAAGGATGGGCATATATGAACCAGACCACCATATTGGCATGTGGTGGGAGGACTCCATTAAAACTGATAGCTGTCAGAATATATGTACATCACCAGCAGCGGAAACAGACATGAGACTTGTTTATATGGTAGAGATATATAGCATATCTATGTTTTTTAGTAACTCTGTTTCTAACTGAGTACTACATCTGACTGGATATATTTTGTAGCTAGAGGATATTCCTCACAAGGAACTAACGCAACCAAAGGACCATGACCAGGAAACAAACAAGTCTTCAGATAAGGTATGTAAAATTCTTATTTTTACCCGCATCTCTGTGGCATAGGAACTTTTTGTTCATGCTGCTTTGATTTTTCTATTTGAATAAGAGAGATCTACAACCCTGGCTAGCTCATTCATTTGGAGATGGAACCCTCACTTCATTGACTCATACGTGTAAAAATAGATTCTTTTGATCAAATTATTTTGTTCAATTTAACCACCAGCTTCTGGTAGGGTAAAGCCAAGTTCAATTGGCTTGTACTTCAAGAAGGAAAAGTCAGAAGGGCATCAAATATAATGTTGAACTTGGATATCCTGGCCAAGATGAATCCTATTTCAGCTATGACCTTCATCACTATATTCTCATATGCAGGAATAAATCTTTTAGCCGACTTTGATAGAACATATTGATGGTTTTCTCTTTGCTTTGTCCTTTAGTAGTGAATATGCATGTTTTGTTGGTTCCACACTCTAGAAATCCCCCATTCATCATTTACCAGATTGAACCTTCTTTCAGAAAGAAAGGTTTTCTGTTCATTGATATGGTGTCTGCAGCAAAAAGATATTATGTTCACAATAAATCTAATTGATTGAATCAAAATGTGATCTTGACTAATAAGATCAGCACTTACTCCCTATCATATTTCATAATGATCCTTTAGTAATTTCTATGAACTGTTGTGATATATAAATGTTTTTGTTTCCGGAAACTGTTTATGTTCTTCCTACTTCTTGCTAATAAAAATATTTAGTAATATATGTGAAAGGTTTAAGGATCTATGATAAGCAATTGAGAGAAATCATGCAAACGTTTAGGAAGCAAGAAGAGATTTCTGATGATGGTAATAATCAGAGAATATGTCTGTTTGGGTTTAATCCCAGCTTAGTGTCAAGTGAACTTGGGTGGCAATTCTGTGAGTATGGAAGTGAATGAAGATAGCTTAATGACAACAAAGAAAGAACATATATGACTTTCGAGGTAACTTATGTTGTCAGTTCCTTATTAAATGGTGAGAACAAAAGCATGCCTGTTCACATATATAGTCACTGTACTGGAACACCAGAATGGGTAACTTATATTGTTTTCTAATCACAATTAGTTTATCTAAAGGTTTGGTTTAAATAACCAAGATTTTTGACCTTTAACAAATTATCTTAATGTTTTATCTATCTGGAGTTTCATCCATTTGTGATATGTTAAGATTCTTTGATGCTAGTTATGAGATCACAACAGGGGTTGGATGCTGAGGGATATGAATTTACAAAATTTCTATTATATTAAATTTAATTCACTTAAATTGATGGTTTAGTTATGTTTGAAAATTGCTTGGTACGGAATATACCATAACTTGTTCTTCAATCAACCCATGTTACAAAACTGATGCTTATGTTTGAGAAGTTCATCATTATCTGATCTGTAACTGCAAGACTGCAATAACATCCATGAGCTAAGTTCCAAGTCATAATTAATTAAGACTATCAGAGAATGAATTATATTTTTAATATGTACCTCAAATGCTATAAACTGTTGACACTTGTTGGTTCATACATTCAGGGTTGCCAATTTGATGGTGTAATAGAGGGTTTATGTGCAGGTGCTAAGACGGCTTGCACAGAATCGAGAGGCTGCTCGGAAAAGTCGTTTAAGAAAAAAAGTATCTTACCATGGTAAATTACCATTAACATATAATTTGCTTGATATGCTGGTTGTCTACTACTTGTTTTTGTAGGCTTATGTTCAACAGTTGGAATCAAGTCGTTTAAAATTGTGCCAACTAGAGCAGGAGCTTGAGCAGGTTAGACAGAAGGTATAAATGGTACCTTTTATGATGAACAAGGAAGTTTGTTGTTGTGCATATATAAGCTAACCGAAAATCTGGTGCTGAACTGTAGGGTATTTACATTGGTGGGCGTTTGGGAGAGAGAACTCTTGGGTTGTCAGGAAGTGTTAATTCAGGTACAAGTGTTCATTTCATTCTATGTAATTTCTGAAGCATATATGTTAACAGCGTTGATGTTGAAATATCATGGGAAAGAAGAACAAGCTATGTTTTATCTTGCAATCGTTTTAGAATCCTTTCTGCACTATTTTGATAAAGCCAGACCTTTACTGCTAAAATTGCACTAAACCTTTTGGCGCTTGATGGAACAACTCTCATTATGCAATTGTACTATAAGCCGTAATGCATACAAATAGTGTTGCATTCTACCATCCGTGCAGGTTGAATTGAGTGAAGCATTTCTTTCTTAGTTTCTATATCATATATTTTGTTCGGTAACATCATTGTGGCTTCACTTTTACTCTGTAAATGTCTCAACCCCTCTTTCCAAACATTTAGCTATCTGCTAGCCCTTCATGGACTTGTGTCTCTAAATCCATTCTGAAAATGTCGACTGTAATGTACAAATATGTGCAGGAAATTTCAAGTTCAGTTGTAGTATCTCATATCAGATGTTTTGCCCTGATATTAACTGAGTGAAAAATGACAATAATTTTTACCTACACAGGAAAAGTGTTTGGAATTGGAAAATGGGTCTAGCTGGTTTTACATGCCTCTTTTAATTTTTTCCATGGATTATTATTTGATGTAAGGTCAAGATGTCAGCTCCTTATGCACCTAAAGGCCTTTGTTGGTGGCATCTTTCAGGGATTGCTGCTTTTGAAATGCAATATGGACACTGGGTTGAAAAACAGAATCAGCAAACTTGTCAACTAAGAGCTGCACTACAAGCACATGCATCTGACTTTGAGCTTCACATGCTTGTAAAGAGTGGAATAAGACACTATGACAATCTTTTCCGAATAAAAGCAATCACAGCAAAGTCTGATGTCTTCTATCTCATGTCTGGCATGTGGCGAACACCCACAGAAAGGTTTTTTCTTTGGATCGGTGGATTTAGGCCCTCAAAGCTTTTAAAGGTGATTAAATCTTGTTTTATGAATTTTAATATCTTTTTCAGTTTGCACATGCAAGTGCGGCTCAATTTGCCACCTGCATGTCATGCTGGCTTCCAAGGGCATGCTAACACAGAATTGGACTATAGAAAGCCTATGACAATCTAAAGGTGAATTAAATCTTGTTCATAAATTTTAGTATCTTATAAAGACTGCACATGCAAGCACTGCTCAATGTGCTACCTGCACTTGTCATGCTGGCATGCAAGGGTATGCTACCACAGCATTGGACTTTAGAAAGCCTACGACAATGTAGAGAGGGTTTGCATATTCCATGTCAGCATGTCACGCAGCCAGCATGGGGTTTCTTGCCAATGTCATATGTTACTTAGTGGTAGTTTCTTTTTTTCTTTTCTTTTCCTTGACTTTATGGAAAGCCATCTCACTATTCTTACAGATTCTTGGAGTAAGATATGAATAAAAGGTACTTCTAATATTACTTATATTTCTCATTGTTGGTTCACAGGTGCTCTCCTCACAGCTAAACCCTTTGACAGAGCAACAAATGAGGGCTGTCACTGGCCTGCAACAATGTTCACAACAGGCTGAAGATGCACTTTCCCAAGGATTGGATAAACTTCAGCAAACTCTGTCTGAAACTCTAGCATGTGACCCCTTTGGCACATTTGGTGCGAAAAACTACATGGGACAAATGGCAATTGCCATGACAAAGTTGGAAGCTCTTGTAAGCTTTGTCAACCAGGTGACATACAAGTTCTGTCGACACAATCAGTTTATCCTGTATATTTTTTTTCCTTTTCTGCTGTTGCCTCTGTTTCTGGTACTGTTCTAGTGTTTTCCTTATTATTTTGTTTTCCTTATGATTTGTGTCAGTATAGTGCTTAAGAATTTTTTGATAATAACAGTTTAATTATATTAAGAGAACGATTACCAGGTAGGTAATAGTATGAATGCATCTATGGCATATATCTACACTTAGTTTCTGCTTTAGCCTTCTCTATCTGGATGCTTTTTAATTGTGAACTCATTCACTAAAATCCATATGTTAGGTATGTCTCTTGCTTCTTTAAGATCTCAAAGCAATATGCTTAGTGATTCACTGGAAAATGGGAAACCATTAGGCACTGGTTATAGTAATTGTACATTTTCAAAGAGTCAATTTCTAATTGGTAACATTGTTGAAACACCACAATTTTGGTGTTGTACAAAATTGGTTTAATGGTATACAATATACCAGCATAGTAATTGTACCAGTCCATATTTACATATTAATTTTGATATCCATTATTGGTGTACCTAGATGTTCCATGTTATACCAGTGGGATAAGATGTTGGTAGTGGTACAGCTATTTGGAACCTGGACTTGCAAGAACTAGGACTCGTTAGAAAGTTTAACATATAAACATTAAATACTAATTCTTAGTTTCTCAACAGGATAATATCTGTAATTTTTGCTTGGTACAACTTGGTTTTGTGTTATGAAGCTTCTTTTTTTTTATGTAATGTTGTATTACCATTTTAGTGTCTTAAAAATATGGAACAGTATTATTATTATTATTATTTTTAGTAATATGTTTAGTTGCCAAAATTTGAACTTAATGAAAGATTTCAAGAGGAAGAACTTAAAAGAGTCGATAGAGAAGTAGGGTTCGTAATTTCATATCGTATTAACGTATCGAGCTTTGTTTGATATGGTACGATATAGATGTACTGAGTGATACAGGGCATATTGAATAATATATATATATATATATATATATATATATATATATATATATATATATATATATATATATATGTGTGTGTGTGTGTGTGTGTATACACATATATATATATATATACATATAATATAAAAAAATTAAAAAGAGGTGATGTCACCCCCCTCTTCTCCTCGTCGCCTTAGACGAGGAGAAGGCCACAACGTCTTCTCATTTGAGGTGATGAGGAGAAGAGGACGTCCTCATCTACGACGTTCGGTGAGGGAGGGTGGCGACGAATCGGAATCATCGAGGGAGGGCAACACCAAATCGGGACGTAAGGTTCTCTCTCTTCTTCTCCCTTTTTCTCTTTCTTTTTTCTTCTCTCTCGCTATAGCCAGGCTAATACCGCCTAATAGCAGGCGGTGACAGTCAAAATCAACTGATACCAACCTGTTTTAGGATATAAAGAGACGGAAACAGCCCCAATCAACGATACCGCTAGGTAGTGGGCGGTCCGCATACTAATATGCTGGTGGATCAATACGTACCACCCGTACCTAGTGATTATAAGTTGATAATGATGCTAAAGAGTATAAAATTCTTTTCAAAAGTTCTAAAAGGACATAAAAGATAAACATTGACTACTAATTCTTGGTTTCTCAAGAGGATAGTATATGTAATTTTTGCTTGGCACAACTTGGTTTGTGTTATGAAGCTTCTTTTTTTCCTATAATGTTGTATTACCATTTTGGTGTCTTCAAATAAGGAACGGTATCATTATATTTTTCTAATAATATGTTTAGTTGTCAAAAATTTGAACTTAATGAAAGATTCTAAGAGGAAGGACTCAGAAGAATGAATATAGAGAAGGTTGTTGGATGGTTGTGGGGAGTGTAGAATTCTTTTCAGAAGTTCCGGAAGGACATAAAAGATATCTATTCCTTATTTTGAAAAACATATAAATATTGACTACTAATTTTTAGTTTCTCAAGAGAATAGTATATGAAATTTTTGCTTGGTACAACTTGGTTTATGTTATGAAGTTTTTTTTTTCTGGTAATGTTGTATTACCATTTTGTTGTCTTCAAAATAAGAAATAGTATCATTATTTTTTTATATGTTTAGTTGTCAAAATTTCAACTTAATGAAAGATTCTAAGAGGAAGGACTCAATTGTTGGATGATTGTAGGGCAACTAGTGATTATAAGTTAGTAATGATGCTGAAGTTTGTAAAATTCTTTTCAGGAATTCTGAAAGAACATAAAAGATATCTATTCGGAAGATTTTGACCAACAAAATGAAAACAAATGGAGCTCACATTTTTCTGCACTAGTTTTTAAACCAAACAAGTTCTAGAAAGTTTGTTGTTTATATCCTCATTTATTTTTCAACAAGTTCCCTGTTATACAATAATAGACCTAGTTGAATGGATGATAATGCTATACATCAGATATTACTCTTCCAATGGTTGAAAAATTAGAAAATATCAAGGTTTATGTATTTAAGTTATTCAGAATCATAAAAACTCTACGACAACATATTTCTTTTTAGTAAATAATTCACTGACAGGTCTCTTCCATAAGTCACTGATAGCTACTTCTCTTCTGTTTATCATGATGGATAGATACGATTTATTTGTTTCATGACATGATTATTTATTTCAAAACTAAAATAAAAGGAAATAAATGGCTAACACAAGATTTCACCCTGAGAGGATCTCGAGTTCATCAAAGAAGGTCTCTTTCTTCGAGGCCCTTTTAGCATGAAACTTCCAATTAGGAAGGTCTTTGGAAACCATAAGCAACAACCTATAGTACTTTGAATAATTGTCTTATTAAACTGTTTCTCGAGCACTCTGCACTTATGTGTTTGATCATGGGAAGGACCTCTTAAGTTGCATCATCATCAACTATTTCTGTCTTTTTTCCTTCTTCGTTAGGCCTCGATAAATATCGTCTTGATCCTATATCTTTCTATATGGTTGATAAAGTTATCATCTAATTAAGATACTTAAAATTGGTTATGAAAGACTACTCGTGTTGGGATGCATCCGTAAGTTAACTATCATTTTCTACTTGAGTTTGCATTACTTGGTATATATAAAGTCACAGACTTCTTTTACATTTCACTCTCTTGATAGGACATGTGATGCATATCATCAGCAGTTATGCATAATGCAAATAATAAATATAGTATTAATTCTAATGTCAACAGTAGGTCTCTCATTATTCCTTTCATAATAATACTTTTATCAAATGTTCATTTACACCAACAAAAATTAGTATATGACAATTTACTCTATCTTGCTTCGAATTTGCTATTGCATATTCGTCTAATTGTGAAATCATCCTTGACTTAATTTTTGAAACAGGCGGATCACCTTCGACAACAGGCTTTGCAGCAAATGTACAACATCCTCACAACTCGCCAATCAGCACGAGGGTTGCTTGCCTTGGGTGACTACTTCCAATGCCTTCGCACGCTTAGTTCCCTATGGGCAACTCGTCCTCCCTCATGAATCAGCTTAGAAATCTTTGGAGGAGGCATCATGACAACTTGATGTTCAAATACCGACGACCAAGTCAGCTAGCCAAGGGAATGAGCATTGACAAGATGGCTACCAGCATCCATCTGGAGCAATTTTATGAATAGCTTAACCGCTCAAATTCTAAAGGTTAGCTGCTGGTGGAGATGATCTATAGATATCTGTTGAAGCTCCATAGCCAACAATGCTAGTCTGTTTATCGTATTGGAATCAAATAGATAAAAGAATGTTAGAGATTTATTTATAATTCAAAGACTAAGAGCTGAATTCATGGTGTAGTGTTCATATATTATTTACAGAACTTGGATTGCGGATGATCAACTAAGAAACCGATGTAATGTTGAAGTTAAAAGGTTGAGCACTACTATTTCTATACGGAACTCAAAGACAGTTGTATAATCTGGTTAGGATGTTGCTATAGGATGTTGATGAGACTTTGGAAGGTAGCAGTGTCAACAGGAGATTATTGTGTTATAGATGCATTGATTACTCTGTCTCACTGGAAGTTGAGAAAACACTCACTGAAAGTTGAGAAAACAAATTCATTCTTCTGTCACATGTAAAACGGAAAGTTAGAAATTATGATGAGAAAATATTTTAAACCGGAAAACAAAAACAAAATAGAAGATTACGGGATTTGAACCCGACATGAATCGAACATGCAACCTTCTAATCTCGAGTCAGATTCACTACCATTGCATGATTCATGGTACATTTAAGACCATTGCATTGCAGATGCTACTAAACACACGAAAAAAATATAGCTTCCAACTTTTAACTGTTCTTTCAAATCCTGATGATCGAGACACGATGGAAGAACTTTGTATTAGATGATTTGTAAGTAAATTTTATTTCTGGTTGGCTGCGTTTCTCCTTCTAATTTATTTTTCCACATAATTTATGCTCTGCTGTTGGTTGTGCCTAATAGGTTCTTGAAGTTATGCTTCTCTTTAGTTCGTGGCTGTTAAGTTTGTCACTGGAGTTTTGTAGTGAGGACTTAATAGATATGCAGGCTTAAATCATTTTTCTCTAGTATCTCTTACAATGTTTCTAAACAACAAATTGAAAGCTTTTCATATAGTAATAGGATCTTGCCAAATCATTGAGTAAATAAATCATAAAATCAAACCTTAGAATGAGATTGCAAATTATTGTAACATAACCTATGATGCTAGATTTATTGAGAAAGTCATTCGATATGTATTGTAAAGGAGACTTTTGGATTCAAAGATTGATTAGATATTTTTTTAGCATAAAAATTTGATGCTACATGATTATTTTGGCTTACTATCCGAGGCTTTTCTATCATCAGATGCCAACTAAGATATGTATAGACTTATTTATTATTTTTAGGGGAGTCAAAAGAACTCTTATTTCTTGCCTATTGTTAATTGATCTTATCTTAGTTGTGCAGTAACATTATTACACTTGTTGGTAAAGGATCAATCGACCACGTAACCAAATAAGTTGATGTTTCAACAATCATCAAAACATCGAGTGATCCAAAGGAGCCGAATAAAATTATAATGTAACTTATTTCTGGTTCGATCGAACCAGATGAGAACGGCATCCTCAAATTCGCACCCGAGCCCTAAATGCAGTGGTGAAGCTGTCTCCTTCTCCACAGCGACCGCGACTGCGGCGTGTACCTTGGCGAGAGCCGGCAGCGGCGGCGGCATTTTCCTCCGTCGAGCTCTTATCGCTGCGGCGTTTTCCTCGGCGAACGGTGGATGCTGCGGCTTCCTCTCCGTCGGCGAACGGTGGATGCTGCGGCTTCCTCTCCGTCGGCGAACGGTGACAGCACCCGGTATCTCTCTCTTACTCCTCCTCCTCCTCCTCTTCCTCCTTCGCCGTCGCACAATCCCTTCTCCTCCCTCCTCCTCCCTCTCCCCCCCTTCATCGCAGCCACCTTTCCCCGATCCCTCCTTCCCCTTCCCACTTTCGCCACAGCTCTCCCGCTTCCCCGACATCATCCTCCTCCTCCCTTCTCCTCTCTCCTCCCTCTTTCCCCCGTTCATCGCAGCCCCCCGCCCCTCTTCCTTGGTCCCTCCCACCTCCTCCACTTCATCACAGCCCCCGTCCCCCGTCGACCCCGGCAGCCACCTTCACCATCCTCCGACCCCAATAGCCCCCTCTCCATTTTCCTACTCCGGGCTCGACAGCCCCCTCTCCATTATCCTGCTCCGGCCCCGACAGCCCCCATCTCCATTTTCCTACTCCAGCCCCGACAGCCCCCATCTCCCTCGTCTACACTCCTCTTCACCTTCTCTATACATCTTCCCCTTCCCTTTCCTACTCCCTGATAGTTACCCGCTACCCTCACAACAAGCAGTCAGCAGCATGTCATAAGCATTTACTTTAAAGAAATAGCATGTCACTGTATGCAAGTTGAATACTGTTGTTAAGATAGACGGCAGGAGAAGTGATGCTTTTAGAGAGAGCAAAGAGGATTGGGGAAGTCTTAGTGACAAAAAAGCATGGAAAGGTTAGAAAAAGAGATAGCAGAGACAATAATCGGGTCACTGTGCAAAGAAAATCATAATCATTTGTCAATAGAAACATGCAAAAGTCTGACTATTCCTCATGTGAAGCATTTTAATTAAAAATATACCTAAGATAATACTAATCTAACTAGGTTTCCCAAAAGAAACTATCTCAACAGCAACTATTTATTTTGATGAAGTGTTTGGTTCATCAAACCTCTTAGTTTTCTTATCATGTTTACTGCATTGTAGTTTCCTTTTCAAGCACACCAGAACAACACAAAACCCCAAATGATACAAAGGACTCGACTCACCCTAAAGCACAACTTGAGTAAACAACTAGATTTTGACTTGATTTCCAAACCCTAAAATCTCAATGTATTTGGTCAGGTATAAACTTACACCTTTATGTCAGCATAGTTTGTTCTCTGCCGTAGTGCTGAAAGCAGCTATCTTCGTTACTTGAGGCTTGTTCATACCTCAAAACACACAGTCATGCTTATATTTGGATTGTCAAATCTTGTATTCGCTGGTTTTGTTGGTGATTGAAGGAGATTTTACTGGTAACGATAGAAAGATATTTTAATGCTCTTAATTTAACTACAGATATTTTCTTACACAGAGTTCAAAGATACAAAAGATCCATATGGATGATGATAAATAGTTTGGACCTCATGGCTTTTGTTACCATTGTGGTCGTTTGTACTTGTTGGTTTTATTGGCATATTCTCACTGATCTGAACCAAATTCATCATAGGCCCAGAAAGATTATTGAATATGAGCTACATTGGTTGTATATCTATTTTTTAAATGTCGTGAGATTCAAGTTAGATCTCCTTAGTTCTATCTAACCTAAACACTAGGTGCTTGGCTCTTGCCTAATCGCTCGGGTGAGGCGATGCCTGAGCACCATGTCGTGCACATCACGCGGGCGTTTTCACTCGTGCGACGCTTAGGTGAGCACCGGTTGGGCGCTGGGCAGCCCACTCACACGCCCGAGTGGTGTTGCACCTAAATTGAACCCCTGTTGGGTCCATTAAGACAAGCAATTTGATCCCCACCCTCGTGTGACTCACCTCCTTTGCAATGTTTCTTCCCCTCTCCTATTGGAGAGACCTAGGCATCCTCAGTTCCTACTCCCTATCTTGCGTAAGTGCAATATCTAGGTTTAACATCCTGCTCCCTACATTTTAAAAAATTACATTGGCATCCCTAGTGTTACAAAAGTACAATATCTAGGTTTATTTACTCTAACTTGTCATTTTTACCAACAAAAATATGAAAATAAAAGGCAAAAAGATAATTTTAATATTTCATTTAGTTGTAGCCGATAAAGTCGGTGGTTGTGGACGACGGTGTCACTAGGGCCGTGGGTGGCTGTTGTAGGTAAGGAGTGCGACGGCGAGAGGTAATAGCCGCTTTGCATCTACATCGGCGTCAAAGGGTGTCGCTCGACAACTGCATCAATGTCGACGTTGAGCAGTGCCGCCTGACATTTGCATCAGTAGCCCTCTCGTCGCTCGACAACTACATCGACGCTGATTTAGATGCATCTGCATCTGCGTCGATGTAGTTGTTGAGCGATGAAAGGGTCGATATAAATGTCGAAGGGTGCCGCTCGGCAACTGCGTCGATGTTGACGCTAAGCGGCGCCGCTCGACATTTGCATCAATGGCCCTCTCGTCAATCGACAACTACATCAGATGTAGAGCGGCCTTTACCTCTCGTTGCTGCTCTCCTCATCCATAATAGTCACCCGTGGCACCCAGCGGCGCTGTCATCTGGCACCACCAACGTTGTTTGCCGCTACAAATTGGAATGTTAAAATAATCTTTTTGCCTTTTGTTTTCGTATTTTCGTTAGGAAAACCGATGTTGTAATGGTAAATGGGCTTAAATGTTTCACTTTCGTAATTATAGGGATGCCAATATAACCTTTTAAAATGTAGGGACGAGGATGCTAAAGGTAGCTAACTACGTGGGGTAATTTGTAATGAGTCCCTGATGCATAATATCTGACCGTGCCTATACACATTGGAATACATGCTATTTTATTTAATCTTTTGATCCTTTATTAATTTCTTGTTGCTTGCCGCATAAGTCGGTTCTCAAACGGTTATGAACATCAAATAATTTTGTAATATGAATCGATACCTATTTGTTGCTTAGACATAATAATATGCATACTTTAGTCATCAGATGGAACCACACATGGGAGCATAGCTCATGTTTCTTGTCTATTTTTTGCCCTTGGGATAACTTCGTCACATGCATGCTGGTTCTGGCGTCTTGCTTTGAACCACAGTAATGAAATGTTGGACCCCTTTTCACACGTATTTACTAATTACACATAGAGAATGCATTTATATATTCAATTTTGAGGCTAAGGGGTGCCATCATTAATGGGATTTGGAGAGGGCACTTAGGTACTAGAAGCTATTAGGAGCTGTCACTGTATCTTCATGCTCTGCTCATTACATCGAAGCTCTTAGTTCTTTTTTGTTGCGCATGGCTATGGATTTCTTCATCCATAGACGTGATTTTATATTTTGCTGTGCCTTTTTTCTCATTTTCATTTCTTCGCAATGAGATGGTAGATATGTGCCTTGGCAGTCATAATAAACTGTGGTTTCATTTTTACATTGTTGAAACATTAGTCATTTTGGTATTCAAAATAATTTTATCTGACATTTCAAATTTCCTATGACATGAATTATCTTGTTTTGTTCTTGAACATTGGTACAGTTGTTGTAGTAGAAATATAGCTCTGAGTAAAACTTGAACAAAACAAAATTAGGCAAGGCATTTCTAGGAAACTATCTTCGAGATAGATAATTTTCCCACTACAATGCAGATGGCTTCACAGAAATTCTATCTCTAAGGATACAATGCCTATTACCTGAAATAATCAAGATTGCACTTCTTGATTACTTGAAGAATCAAAACTCAACTAGAAAATAAACAGAACGGTAGAATTCAGTGCTTTGTTTGCACTAGAATTTTCTTATTGCTTTACTCTTCAATATAGCGGAGTTTATTTAGACATTGAAAGGATGCTAAAACATCCTTTCAGTTATCCTAAGAGTTATGACTTTTTGAACCATTACAGCACAATAAATGCGTTTTAAAACTGCAAGTAGTTTCCATAACTGTTCCTGACATTTCTTTCCCCTTGTTTTTAGTAAATCCTTATATATATCAATCCCTGACTAATTTACATACGATAAAAATATAAATCATAAAATTACAAATCGAAATCTGTAGTAGGCATAAGGGTAAAATCTGCGATGTATATAGTGCATATCCATAAGTGGACTAACCTTAAACTTTGGACTAAATATAAGGAACCATATTCACAAAATATACGAATTTGGAATTCTAAATTTGGCAAACCTTTTTTGGACTTTGCTCTGAATCCTGACTTACCCAGTACTTGTTGGATCGTACTGGTATGATCCGTAAGAAGCAGCCTCTTACTTCTCTATTGGCAAAGTTAGACTCATTAAGAGTGTCCACAATCATTGTAACTTATACTGGAGGTCATAAAAAATAATTTTGGCTAATATTTATCTAAATTCGCTTAACTTGATCGTTATCTAGATACTGTGGTCAAACATGGTGCTCAGTCTTATAAATTTTCTTATATTAAAACATTTCCAAAGATGTGTATTTAGTGGCAAGTGACAATTAATTTCCAGCCCTCGGATATGAGTTGGTTTAGAACTGACCTAATAATATAAATTTTATCAATCTCAAATGTTCAATGTTGCAAAAATGCATGCATATCGTGTATGCATGCGCATTTACTTTAAAGAAATAAGAAGTTGCAGAATGCAAGTTAAATACTGTTGTTAAGCTAGACAGCAAAAGTGCTGCTTTTAGATAGAGCAAAGAGAACTGGGGAAGTCCTAAAAAAATAAAACGCATGGAAAAGATAGAACAAGAGATAGCAGAGCCAATAATTGGGTCACTGGTCAAAGAAAACTATACTTATTTGTTAATAGAATCATACACTAGCCTGACTATTCCTCATGTGAAGCATTATAATACAAAATACATCTCAGTAGTACTAATCTTACCAGGTTTCCCAAAAGAAGCTCTCTCAACAGCAACTGCTTATTTTGATGAAGTGTTTGGTTCATCAAGCCTCTTAGTTTTCTTATACTGTCCACTGCTTTGTCTTTACAGGCCATACCGGAAAATTTCAACACAAAACCCCAAATGCTCCAAAGGACCTGACTCACACTAAGGTACAAGCTGAGTAAACAACTAGAATTTGATGTGATCTCCAAACCCCAAAATAGACCCAAAATCTCAATGTATTTGGTTAGGTATAACCTTACACCTTTATGTCAACATAGTGTGTTCTCTGCTGTAGTGCTGAAAGCAACTATCTTCACTACTTGAGACTTGTTCGTGCCTCAAAACACACAGGCCTGCTTACATTTGAATTGTCAAATCTTGTATTTGCTGGTTTAGTTGGAGATTTGAAGGGGACTTTACTGGTAACAATAGAAAGAGATTTGAATGCTCTTAATTTAACTACAGATATTTTCTTACACAGAGTTCAATGATGCAAAAGATCCATATGGCTGACCGTGAATAGTTTGGACATCATGGCTTTTGTAATTCTTGTGGTTGTTTGTACGTGCTGGTTTTATTGGCAACTCACTGATCTTGGCTTTTTCTCTTCATTTATGATATGTAGCAGAGGCTACATATAATGTTTTTACTGTAGTTGAAGTTGTTTACATGAGCATGTTTCTGATAAATTAAGTTCCTTTATCAGCATAGAGCCAAATAAACTGTAGCATTTCTTGATTGAGGCTGTTTTCTTATCCCTTTATTCATTTTTCAGAAAATTTATTGCCTTTCTCTGGTCTTCCAGCTATGTTGTTTTCTTTTGTCGAGTTGCACATCTTCATCAGCAATGCATTTTTTAGCATGTTGAACCTCACAAATTACTGTTATTGATTAATTAAACAGTGTCTTTTCTACTTACCAGTTTTGCTAGACTTATAACTAGATCATCTCTTGGCATTCTTGATGAAATGGATCAATTACTCTGGAAGTGCTGATTTGAAATGTTTCAGGTTTTAGTCGTCGGACATTAGTGAATCCGATGTTAGAGAAAACATTATTAATATTCCAGTTATTCTGAATTCTGTAGTACCCTTTGCAAGTTATTGATGTTCAACCTATTAGTATAAACATGAGTATACTCTTATATATTTGATGAAAATACTATTTATATGGTTTTTAATTTGCTACAGGGATATAGGACGCTTGGTAGTGTCTAAACCCACCAACTACAATAGAAAAATAAGTGGAATTTAGTGTCAGTGCGCAGGTGTTATTTGAAGCCATTATTTCAGTGGTGGAGAATTGCTTGGATGTGAGCATGAGAATGGGTAACTAATCATAGGTACTCTTTGTCAACTCGCAAACACCATTCAGAGACTTATCTCTGAAAGAAATGGCTGATTGGAACTGAATGCATGTGGATTAACATGAGTGGTGGAGGAATGTTGTCTGAGACAGATGATTAGTTGAAAGTTTTCAACATCCTTGATTTGAGGCAGAGGAGGAATTTGGATTGGAGAGGGCCGAAATAAGACTACTTTTCTTGTATTTTTCTGCAAACAGTACGTGATACTGCCTCAAAAGACAATGTTTTTGGTGCAGAAGAGGCTTTTTTGCCTTCTCTCGTGTAACAAGCCCACCATCCATCTTTCCTCCTATCAACTCTGCAGTCTCTTTAGCTTTTCCACTCCCGAAGACCACAGTTCAAATCATAGATCCAAATTTATGTTGGTCGAACCCCTTCAGTCATGTGAACTTTCCTCAAAAGAGGCTGCAAAAATGGCCGAGGGTCGCATCTGTGAAAAAAAACTTCCAAGTTCAAGTCCTTCCATTGAGTTCTTTAAGCAGAGCGGTTGGAGTGATGCACAAGTTATGAAGCTTACCAAGAGGTCACCCCAGTTGCTGCATGCTAATGTAGAGACTGCCCTGAAGCCCAGGATGAGATCTTTGCAGGACATGGGATTTTCTGACACTGAAATAGTTCAGCTGGTTTCATTATGTCCTCATGCGCTCCTATTTCGTGACATCAAACCGAGGATCAACTTCTGGAGGTCACTATTAGGTTCGAATGAGAGGCTTCTGAAAGCCTGCAAGAGGAACATGTTTATTCTTAGTTATAGCTTGGCTCGGACGATAGAACCCAATATATCTCTCTTGAGGGAACATGGCATCAGTGACAAGCGTATCATGCATATGGTGGCGACATTGCCAGGCTGTTTTGGTCGACTAGACAAATTAAAGGAGGTTATCAAATATATTGAGGAATTGGGTGTCCCACGTGACTCTGGAGTATATATGTGTGCACTTCGTGTAGTCATGAGCGTGAACAAATCTAGTTTTGATGCTATCAGTGCGACTCTGATGAGCTTTGGGTGTTCCCAGCCTGACATCGTTGCTGCATTCAGGAAGTGCCCATACATTTGGGCACTCTCAAAGAAGACCATATGTGACAAGATGACATTCCTGATGAAGGAAGCTGGTTTTGAGCTGACATCTGTCATTCGTCGTCCCGTGATTCTTACACTCAGTTTGGATAAGAGGCTGAGACCTCGATATGAGGTTATGAATTTTCTTAAGCAGAATAAATTGCTGGATGAAGGACATAGTCTACTATCCTTCATACTACTATCTGAGGAGAAGTTCAGAAAGAAATATCTTTTCCGGCACAAGGAGAAATTTACTTCTCTCTATGATTCCTATGTTGCCGCTGTGCAGGGAATGCCACACGTTGTTACTTGAAATTTAAATTTTAATTTAAAATGATCAAGTTCATACTGACTGCACTATTTAATCATCTCAAATTTTGTGACATTATAAATTCTCCAGGAGTTTCTTGTTGTAGAACATTCATGATGATTTTGAGATTCTTTTATTTATTTATTTATTTATTTTACAACAAATTTTACTGATTGCGCTATTAAATCATCTTAAATTTGTGACAATTTAAATTCTCCATAAGGAACTTCTTAAGAGTAAAACATCTTTTTGTGCCACGAACGTCGTCGAATTTTTCGTACCAATGTGAACGGGTACGAGTCATTACTTAAGAAAGGCAGTCAAAATCATTCATTCTCGAGCTTTTATGTTATTCTTTTGGTTAATTGTCATAGCTGAATTGTCATTTAAATGATTGGGATATATTAAAATAGAGTATGGATAAGGACAGAATCATGGATATCATTAAATGCATTTGTATTGAAATTATGGTCTAAGCCTGAAGTTGTCATTGTTTGCATTGGTGCTCCTTACTCCACTTTTCATTATAGTGTCAGCACAAATCCTTCACTAATCTTTTCTTGTGTTTTTCTTGGATTAGTCTTCGGATGTTAGGGTTTTGATTGAGAATAGATGAGGCGGGTGGTTTATTGATCATCTATTTGTTATCATTTATATTCGACGATTCTCCCTACTGATTTTTTTCTCATGTAAACATACAAATGAGATTGTAGCTGTCATAGTACAGGGTTGGCGAGCTTTGACGGTGGCAACGATACTCACTACAGTCGCAGTGTGGAGGGATCGTTACTACTGAGGGTTGGGAGGCAATGATGTGGGCTGGGAGGTAGCATCGTTGATGGCTCGCTGTAGTTGTTGGGAGGTGATTGTGCGGTTGCGACGATATGGGATGCTAACAACCACGTGATTGGGATGGGCGTTAGCGATCCTGGCCGGGGGCGATGAGGGGTGGTGCGCTAGCTAGCGGGGAAGAAGAAGGTTATGGGAGCATCGAGGGTCCTTGCTAAAAACCCTATCCTCTATGCAGCTATGTTTGTAGTGAGAGCAGAGGAGGTGAAGATGACTCACAGGGGAAGTGCAATGGCTATAGCGAAGGGAGGGAAGAAGAAGGGCTCGACTAGGAAGCCACGACATTCGTTCGACTAGTTAGCAGCGGACGCTGAGCGAAGATGGGCTCGATTGGGAAGGCTGTTGATATTTTGGGTCTATTTTGGGGTTTGGAGTCATCTTATATAGTTGGGGTTTGGAGTCATCTTATATATTTTGGGTCTATTTTGGGGTTTGGAGTCATCCCAAAATAGACCCAAAATCTCAGTACAAGTTGTGGGTTTCGCTCGCTGGTGGTTCATCCATCTACACTACCTTCCTTGATCATTAGATTCTTCCAAATGTTCCTCCCAATGGCTGCTTGCAGTTCGGGGACTTGCTCGCCTCTTACCAACAACAACAGCCTGTGTTATTCTGAGGCTTTTTCCCTGTAACAGTGCTGCTCTTTTCTGCACCTTTCTTTTTTCTTTCTCCCCCCCCCTTCTCCGCTCCCTTTTGGAACTTTGGGAGTTGAGTGCATGTGCTGCGAAGGTCGTCTATATAAGCACGGTCGGAGAGCCTTTATGGAACACTGAATGAGAGAACAAAAGAGCAATGCCAGTGAGCTAAAGCAGCTAAACAAACACCTTTTCTTCATCTTCCAGGAGGCTGCTGCTTCAGTGGCAGCAACGTCGGTCACAGTCTCACTTCCGTCTTTTGTTTCTCTTCCTTCCCTCTCGTACTTCGAAACTATCTTGTTACGGGTTATATTGTATCCGTCTCCTCTTTCTACCTCGTTATCAGCCGGAAGCAAGCATCATGGGAGATTACATCTGTGGCTTCCTGTGTGGCGGCCACCAGTACGCAAACAGGAAGCAGTTGCAGACGGTGGAGCTCAAGGTCAGGATGGACTGCGAGGGCTGTGAACTCAAAGTCAGGAATGCCATCTCCTCCGTCACAGGTGAAAGTCCTCTTCTTCTCCCATACCGATGGCTTGACACTCGTCTTCTCCTGATCCACACCTCATGGCCTTGTTATAGGAGTTCAGTCGGTGGACATCAACAGAAAGCAGAATAAAGTGACTGTGACTGGCTACGTCGAGCAACACAAAGTCCTGAAGAAGGTTCGATCCACGGGCAAGAGAGTTGAGATCTGGCCTTATGTTCCCTACAACCTTGTCACTCACCCTCACGGTGCTCAGATCTATGACAAGAAGGCACCCCCCGGGTATGTCAGGAATGTGGAGGTGGTCACTGTGTCCAGCCAACCACTCAGACAAGATGACCTGCTTACCAACTTGTTCAGTGATGACAATCCAAATGCCTGCTCCATCATGTGAAGAAACTCAGATCTATATGTTTCTAAGTAGAATGAGGGTGATGTTCTTTCTTCTCTGTGGCTTTGCATGGGAGTGGGTGTTATCAAGTAGTATGAATGTGGAGTCATATAGTATTATTATATGTAAGCCAAATCTCACTTGTGAAACCAGTTAGCGATGAGATGAGGTTCAAGTCTTTATGGGCATCTATCTCTGTAACTGAAGCCATGCTCGCTTGCAAATGATCGCTACAGGGGCCATACGAATCATGAATACTGCTGCCTTCTTCTGAACAAGCGCAAGCATAGAGAGGGATGGAAGTGCGAGCGAGGAGATTTAAGGACATAAAAGGCTCATCTTTTGCTTACCCACTAACACAACTCGAGTGAGATGAAGGCATAATAGCCTTTCTTGTGGCTATAAGTTTCATAACCATTATAAGAGGCATTCGACATATCTTCTCTCAAAAAAGAGTGCTTTTCATGATCAAGAAGACAACAACAAAGTGACCATCAGAAATCATTGTTGCCAGAATGACTGTAGTAACAATGAACGATGACACTTTTTATCAAGCCAACTTGTAGGTAAATTTGAAAACCGGACGGAAGAACAGTACTGATTCAACGCTCCAAAGCGACGACATTGTTAAGGTGGAAACTTTATGGGTTGTGCTACAGAAGAAATATACTTCATGGGTGATTGAAGTGCAGAAACCATGGAGCTTTGGGCTTTCCTCTTTACATGGAGAATAAATTCCATTCCTGGCACCCAACAGTAGGGCATGTGCTGATCGAGAGGAATCAAACTCTTGGGCCCGAGTAAACAGAATGACAGGCAAAGATGCGAAGCTTAAAAGAGAAGGTGTAAGGATCTTTTAGTGCTACCTCCAAAATGATTGTGATGTGGTCCTCAGATCACACTTGTGTTTCCCGGACTGTTGCAGAACTCAGGCGACTCTACTCTTTGAATGTTGAGAGAGATTGCGTGAGCACCATTCTATTTCATCATCAACCATGGACGAACCACCGCAGAGAAGTTTTACTTACATCGACGAGGATTATGTGTTCTGTTTTCTCCTTTGTAGACACGCTGTGTGAGTGTCTGATGCACATGAGGTTCATCCCGGTAGAGACCTATCCTGGTAATGAAAGATGACTTGATTGTTCTTCCTACATCTAATGTGGAAGAGTACCAAAGATGACTTTATTCTATCCTATCCAAAACTGATAGCTGCTTGTGTTCTTGCCTGGAAAGAAACAACATGTTACACATTTCAGGGACATTATGGAGCACCAATTTCTCATCAAAGAAAAGGTTTCATTCAGAAAATTCTCTTTTACCGGCGGAGATTTGGTTGTTGACTGTTCATCGTTCTTGTTTTACTATCTTTTCAAGAATACAAGTTTGGTGAGGAAAACAATTCTTGATACATGATATCAATGGATATTAATTGCATGCGCTGAGATCTCCAATGAAACATACTCCTTAGTGGTGTAACTCATCTCAGAAAAGAAATGCAAGCAGATTGACCAAATATTGCATGATTAACATGCCTTAAACGTAAATCATATGGATCGTAAGCCCCTTCCTCCTCTTCAATCACTCGACATGCAACCTCTCTATTCCCCTCTTCACACCGTCTTGTTTCCCCATGCAGGCTGCCGGGTGACTATGGGTTAGACCCACTAGGCCTGGGGAAGGACCCAGCGTTCCTCAAGTGGTACCGAGAGCGATGGCGGCGGTGGTGGGTATCTTCATCGGGCAGGCGTGGAGCGGCGTGCCTTGGTTCGAGGCGGGTGCCGACCTCGGCGCCATCGCGCCCTTCTCCTTCGGCTCCCTCCTCGGCATGCAGCTCATCTTCATGGGACGGGTGGAGTCGAAGCGGTGGGTGGACTTCTTCAACCTGGAGTCGCAGTCGGTGGAATGGGCTACCCCTTGGTATCGCACGGCCGAGAACTTTGCCAACGCCACCGGCGAGCAGGGCTACCCGGGGGGCAAGTTCTTCGACCCCCTGTGCTTCGCCGGCACGCTCAGGGACGGCGTGTACGTGCCGGACGTCGAGAAGCACGAGCGGCTCAAGGTGGCGGAGATCAAGCACGCACGGATTGCTATGCTTGCCATGCTCGTCTTCTACTTCGAGGCTGGCCAAAGCAAGACTCCACTTGGAGCACTGGGCGTGTGATCGTCCATACGTATGCACACGCATGCTTTCCTTGATGCATAGTAAGATCTTTAAGCAGTTGACTACCTGATATTTTCATGCAAACTCTTTATACATACATACATACATACATATATACATACATAGTGCAAACACTAGAATAGTTCTACAAGATGGCGAGAAGCTATTTTTATAAGCAAAAACAGGAAGAAAAGGATTACTACTGGCACGCGAATGCTTCTCATCTTTCATTTCATTCGCCACATTAGTCACGCCACGCGATGCTCGATCTCACTCATCCCACCAGCTCTGCCATCACACTAGCCGAGTGAAGTCTCGAGCGCTGTAGTAGAGCATCATGAGCTCGTCGATCGCTCTCCGATCATCTTCGAGCACACAATTCCCCGATAAATCGAGTTCAAACTCCCCACTACCATCCACGTTCTGCAACTCGGCTCTCGAGCATTTCTCCCTCGAGTTGTCGCCGAACTCGCACTTCCTCTTGTCGTCGTTCCTGCGGCCGTCCGGGCCCTTCTCGGCCGCAGAATTGCCGGCCGCTTCATCTTCGGGAATGGGGGAGATCCTGAGGGAGCGGTTGGCAAGCTGCAGGAGAGCTTCTTCCTGGTTCACCATCTTCGACCACACCTCGCTCTCCTTGGCGGTCATCTTGTTCTGCAACCTCTTCGACTGCCAGACCAGATTCCTCATGTGGCCCAGGTTTGGACTCATGTGCTTGATGACGGCGGTCAGTAGGCTCAGCTTCCAAGCTTTCTTGAGGTCATGCGGCTTCCTGTAGGGCGGAGGCCCCTGAGCGTGGGCCTCGCCTTGCACCCCCCACCATGGCTCCTCCCCGGTCGGCCACCAGGGAGGCGGCAGCCCCCTCTCCAAGGGGAACCTCCGCTGCGGCGGTTCGCAGTGCTGGATGAGCGCGGAGAGGAGCGAGCCGAGCGTGCTGTCCTGTAACATACGCAGGCGATCGATGTAAGAGGTCAGAACCAGTTCGTTCGGTTGGGCGAGCGTGGACTGGGCGATGGCCGCCGGGGCATTGCGGTCGAACGCGACGGAGTCTTTCCACCAGGACTTGAGGTTCTCCGACGACCCTGTCACCGGGTCCCCCCGCTCCGGCACGATACCGTACACGAACCCACGGGCGCTGCAGTGTTGCATCATCTTGAGCATGCACCGCAGGACCCCGTCCTGGGCTCGGGCCATCGCCCGCCGCCGCGACCGCTCCTTAGCCAGGGGCTCCACCAGAGCACCGGAGAAGCCGCCTTGCTGCTGCCCCCTCCGCTGCTTCAGCTTCGTCAGCAGCAGCTTGTCCTTCCACATCCGCTTCTCGACCTCGGCCACATCGATGATTCCTTCATTCTCGCTGCCATTACCATCGTCGTCGTCCTCCTCCTCGGCGAGAACGACGACAACAGCCTCTTCGATTTGGGTGGTGGCAGCAGTTGGACCATGATTTGGTGGAGCCGAGGGATCCATTGCACCACCATAGAAGGTCACCGTGAAGATGCCTCTGGAGTGCAGTCCGCGATAAGGTAAATCATATAAAGGCGGTTCCGACATGAACTGACAAGAGAACTCATCCTTTGGACAGCCCAAAGGTCACCATGGATTTGTTTAAGGAATACGATGCAGAATACGTGCCATTGCTGGACGGATTGGAATCTGAAAGCCAATATTTGTTGATGTTTGCCCGTAGCGTAAACGGATCGGTTGGGGGTGCGTATGGCCAAACGAGTTATGAAGGAGGCATGCATGCGAGACAGATGTCGAGGATCTTACCAATATACGATGATCTGGCATGGAACAAGTGGCTCTCGAGGTCCCCTTGCTGATTGCACCAACGAAGACATGCATGCGACATATCAGAGAACCCCACGTCCCAATAGAGGACATGGAAGACGGACAACGTCTTCATTCCTGTGCCAATGGGTACGGCATGGGAAGTCCCCCAGTGCAAATTCTTACCGTGCGATCCACGGTAAAAAGGGTCGCGGCTGAACCCGTCCATTTAGATTAATTAGTTATTTATTATATTATTATATTTAGAACAGATGGAGGATTAAGATTGAAATGAGAACCGATCCAGTGGCCAAATCCGGTCGGTTGGATTATGAATCTTGATTTATAAAAATCAAAACGGATGATTCCGATTCTAACTCAGATTCAGATTCCGATTCCAAGATTTTGGAGGTATATCCATAATGTCGAACGTACATAAAATACCAGGATCATACAACAGCCGAGATAAAGAAACAAACTTCATAGAGCAATTATCAAGATTCGATGAACAAATATAATAAATCCAAGTACTGATTTATAAAGTCAAATACCAGAATCAAACTAGACCCACTATTGTCGAATCCAAACAACTCAAATTCGCTTCAAGTACCAGTTTAAAATATAGAGAGAGACCGCTCAAAAAAGGAAAAAAAAACTTGCTAGAACAGGCACCTTAAATGCAACACTGCCACCGCCTATCGAGCACCCAGTTCTGCATCGACGCACCAGATACCAAACCTATAGACTCGTAAAGCTGACAAGAAGGATGCATATTAAAATTGTTGCTGACACCAAACAAGACCAATGCAGAATTCTCCTCGGTTCATTTCTTCTTTTGAGCAGCTTTGGTAACCTTGGCTCCAGTAGGATCCTTCTTCTCCACACTCTTGATGACACCAACAGCAACTGTCTGTCTCATGTCTCTGACAGCAAACCTACCCAGAGGTGGGTAGGTAGAAAAAGTCTCGACAACCATTGGCTTTGTAGGAACCATCTTCACGAAACCTGCATCTCCATTCTTGAGGAACTTGGGTTCCTTCTCCAGCTCCTTGCCGGATCGCCTGTCAATCTTAGTCACAAGCTCTGCAAACTTGACAGCAATGTGGGAGGTGTGACAATCGAGGACAGGAGCATAACCGTTCCCAATTTGACCTGGATGGTTCATGATGATAACTTGCGAGGTGAAGTTGGCAGCCTCCTTTGCCGGGTCGTCCTTGGAGTTTGAGGCAACAAAACCACGCTTGAGGTCCTTCACAGCAACGTTCTTGACATTGAAACCAACATTGTCACCAGGAAGAGCCTCCTGGAGAGCCTCATGGTGCATTTCCACAGACTTAACTTCAGTAGTAAGGCCTGTAGGACCAAAGGTAACAACCATACCAGGCTTTAAGGTTCCAGTCTCAACACGACCTACAGGCACGGTTCCAATCCCTCCAATCTTGTAGACATCCTGCAGAGGGAGCCGGAGAGGCTTGTCGGACGGACGTTTGGGCTCTTGGATCATGTCAAGAGCATCCAAAAGAGTTGGGCCTTTGTACCAGTCAAGATTGGTGGATCTCTCAATCATATTATCACCTTCGAAACCAGAAATTGGCACGAATGGGATCTTGTCAGGATTGTAACCAACCTTCTTGAGATAAGATGAGACCTCCTTGATGATTTCATCATACCGTGCCTTTGAGTATTTAGGTGTAGTGGCATCCATCTATTAGAAACAAAACATATGTTTAGTAAAAAAAATTACCTGAAGACCAAAGTCATGCACCTTAAGAAGCAATCATGCAAAAAATCCCACCTTGTTGCAGCAACAAATCATCTGTTTAACACCAAGAGTGAAAGCTAGAAGTGCATGTTCACGAGTCTGTCCATCCTTGGAAATTCCAGCTTCGAAACCACCAGTTGTAGAATCAATAATAAGGACAGCACAATCAGCCTGAGAAGTTCCAGTAATCATGTTCTTGATGAAATCACGATGTCCAGGAGCATCAATGACGGTGCAGTAGTACTTTGTAGTCTCAAACTTCCAAAGGGCAATATCAATAGTGATACCACGCTCACGCTCAGCCTTTAACTTGTCAAGAACCCAGGCATACTTGAATGACCTCTTGTTCATCTCAGCAGCTTCCTTCTCAAACCTCTCAATAACACGCTTATCAATCCCTCCAAGTTTGTAAATCAAATGTCCAGTTGTGGTTGATTTTCCAGAGTCGACATGGCCAATAACCACGATGTTAATGTGAACCTTCTCCTTTCCCATTTCTAATTTCCTATCTCCAATAGACATAAATCAGCAAGCTTATCATAGTAGCAAATACGAAAACGTAGGATGTTTCTGACAGCATTACAAAAATAGGAAAAAAAAACTGCTATAAAAGAATAAGATTAAAAAAAACTTTATAGAGATCAGAAGTCCAAAATAAAGTCAAGTATGATAGACTGAGACAACCAATAAATCATGTTCTTAACCATGAAAAGAAAAAAATTAACTAGACAATTGGAATGCTGCAGCAAAAGGCCAAATAATCAATATGGTGATGACAGGGGAAAATCAAATTTATCAGTGTATGATAAAATGAAAAACCACTTCTATCTTTAGTTCCACTAATGATCTCTAAATATCTACTCTTAACTTTTGCAGTTCCCTTAAAATTAGATACAGGTCCAAATGACGCTTGAGATTGTTCAGCTTTCTATATTTTGGAAAGCACTAGAGAAGAGGAAATAGTATATAGCAAACATAAACTAAATAGTATAAATCAGTATGCAGCTCCCAGTCCAATCTCAACAAAAACTCAAGGCTGCTATTAAAATAAATACAAATTCAAATGATACATATCTAGAAGCATAGAAAACCAAAATGTCACTATCTTGTGTACTCCATTATCCCAAAAAAGGCTTGGTGAATAAAGACATCCAATGTATGTTTGTATTAATGTAAAGCATCATAATACCTCCGACTAAAATGACTGATTGATGTAAAGTGGTATACTAGATATAACAGTTGAAATGCCCAAAATAATGTGGCAGAATAGCCAACAGTAAAATTGTATCTATCAGATCGGCATTAAACAGGAATATCAGAGCTACTCAAGCTATAATTTGCAAAACCAACAAAAAGATGCTCCAGTTTTAAATATCCAAAAGTTCACAATCGTTCTATTGAAGTCTGCGACTGCACATAGCAAGCTACAAGAAAAAAGCACAAGAATCATCAGGCACTCTAAAAGTCATGATCCCTTAACCAAAAACATAAACTAGTGAATAAGACATCCAACATCACATCCACTAGCGACCATAAATTTGAATACACCATAACTAGTACAAGTCGATGCTACTTTACCAAGTAAAATATAATTCACACAACAGAAACAAGAAAACAATTCAAATATCATACAGCAGAAAATAATTCATGCACCATAGTAGAAAATAATCCATGCAGGACGTCTAGTAGGAAAATCAACTGCAATGTTTAATTGTGTTTTTTTTGTAAAGAAAAATGTTTCATTTTACTGAACATGAATCTAAGACCTAATCATATATAACACAACCCAAAAATTTAAGCATGGAGGAAATCCATGTAGCAAAGGTGATATAATCACTCCCAAATAAATTGATATGATTTATCAGAAATTGTCTTGAATAGAAAGATTAATCACACTAATCTCAGACATTCAAAAATTAATTGCATACACAAGAGCCATATGTTATGCAGTTTGTTCAAGAGGTATACAGAATAAAATATTAAATAAACAAGAACGGACACTTTCTTTTTTGAGTCGTCCATACATGCCAGCACAGTATACAAGGAAAAACCTTTAGTAGACAATCAGAGAGCCCCTCTCAAAATGCGATAGGCTTGTTAATTTAAAATCGCTCAAATCAACATAATAATGACAACGACAACAACATAGTGACGCAAAATTCGCAGTCAGAAGAGTAAAATCAATGCGAATTACGACCACCACGTTACGTTTTCACCATCTTCAATATGTTTTGACATAATGTGACAGGATCATGTACTCCTAAGACTAAGCACCAATATCTGACAATGTAGCAATCGATCTCTCTTCTGATAACGACACAAAACCCTGCGCAAACACCCAATAACGCGTGGAGCGCCAGGATGCGACATCAAGAACTATAGACATAACACGGTTAATAAACTGCTGACACAAAGAAAACGTACTGAAGTATCATCAACAAAATCAAGCTTTGAATCAATTAGACAACAACCCTCGACAGATTAAAAGAAATCAATCAAACAACAATCATCACGAGAGACTCTTCGACATAGCAAGCACGACAACAAGAGATCAAATAAGGGGAGCAGAAGAACTTTTACCAAAGAGATCAGAGAAGAGAAGTCCGGCAGAGAGAGAGATCGGCGGCGGCTACAACCACGTCCGTCGCGGTGGGAGGAGGGGAGAGGAGCCCCAGCGATCTATACTTATGGAGGACACGATTACCAAAATGCCCCTAGGGTTCCGCAAAATGTGTGGGGCCAAATATATGATTCCTGGTCCCGAAACAGATGGCGGCGGCTGCGGCGATATGGTTGCCTCAGATCCGGACTCTCGTGATCGGATCTCTGTCGTTGGATTTCGGATTTGATCTGCGGGAGAAACTTGGTCGAATCTGGACGGTTTGATCCGAAACGGAAGGTCGTAGATCGGTTTAGCATTACGTTATAAGATGTTGGACTCGGTCAGGTCGCGTTGCAACATCAAGAAAGATTAGATTAGTGCTAAAAAAGGGAATGATGATTTGAGGATTCATTTGGCACAGCCTGTGTGCTCATGTACCATGAAAGAAAAGATATTATTATTATTATTTAAATCAATGTAAATTATTATTTTCCAAAAATATGATCACATCATTTATGATATTTTGTTGAGATATAAAAATACTATATACACTATTTAAAAACACTATAAGTGACATCATATCGAATACTCATAAACTATTATAATATCATATTTTTATACTTGTAATTAATTTGGTTGAGATTAAAAATTTATTTAGATCATTTATAATAATTGTTTGAGAATTAATTTACGTATTTTTTTAATTAACTAAATAAAATAAAAAAAATAGAAGATACTAATTGAGAAATGCCCAAAATATGAGTGTTTTATAAGAAAACCACCCAAATTTGGTGGGGAAAATATGTCTTTTCCCAACCTTTTTTTTTTCTTTGCATTTGGGTTGGCTAATTATTTCCCAACTTTGTAATGAAAGATATACAAAACCTATGGAAAAGAAGCCCATTTGTTGGCTTCTTTTAGGCTTATAATTGGTAGGCCTTGTAAGTGTTGTTGAATCCTGAAAGAATTGGCCCAAAATGACATGATTCAAGCATTGCACATCATGTTGATGAACTGAACTGTTCAAGCTAAGCTAAGTGAACTGGAAATGGAGTTGTAAATGTAAAAACAAAAAACATATTGATGTGCAAAATATTTGAGTGAGTTTAGCTTTGTATATCTTTCAACAAATGTGAATCTATTATAGTTTTGCTTTACTCACAATATATGCATCTTAGCTTTATCATTTACTTGAAATCACCATTGGTGTCTTCTAACTCAAAAAGACACAGGACTCTCTCTTTCACTTCTTCCTCATTTCTACAGCTTCCCATCTGCAGTAGTTCTAAATGGACAGCGGACTCTGCTTCCATAAACCTGCCCTATTTATTGATTGCAGTGCAGGTGGGTTTGCTTGCTTCACTTTGCGAGGACAAGATGCATCCAGAGATTGTGTTTTGAGATATGAAGGCCCTACGTGCCTTGCTCCTTGCAAGACAAGCTCTGGAAAGACAGCACAGGTAGAGATAGAATTCTCGCTGGCATTATTACCACTCCTAAAATCATCGGTGTGCCAACACCTCATTAATGCCGAGCCTCTATAGTCGTCAAGGTGTTCCTCGTTGCTATGTTCGTCCATGTGACCGTGGTCATAAAGCGTGTCTCGCTTCTCATGCTTTCCTGTGAGTGTTGTGAGAAAAGCAGGGCGTGATGGAAACCTATCACCCAACTCGTCACACAAGTCTTTCAAGTCCATTCAAAGCTGATGTTAGAATTCCACAGCGAGGCAGAGGTGAGAGGTCGGGTGGCGATTGGGCTCCACCGTGCGTGGCTCACGATTACCCTCGATTCCTTTTGGAGATGTTCTTATCTCGATATGTCAGGAATCACGCAGAAATCATGATGTGTTGACGATAAAAAAAGCTTTTTTTGTTCCTGGCGTTCTTGGAGGAGCCTCAGCTCGAGGGCTTCATCTCAACCATCCTCACGCGATTGCGGTTGAAAACTTGGCCTCCGATATGAACAGATGTAAGCAATTTCACCTAATCGAGTGTCGTAGTCTTACTGCACATTTCCTCCACCACCATCGTTTCGATTCCACTGTTCGATGCATCACCAAACCCATCACGCTTAATTCCAGAATTAAAAATCTGTACTATGCAGACACTGTTCTTGTACACGTCAAACAACGCTGGAATTTATATCATGTCGGCAATTCAAACTTCCACCATACAACCATATGACTATTCAATCATAATTTGTGGGCGCATCTCCATTCAAGACTCGTAATTAGATTCAGACTGCTGCTGCTAATCGTCAATATTCGAGCTTGGAGGATCTAATTAAATTTATTTTAAAGAATTTTATCCTACTAAATTTTCCCTAACAGTTTATGTAATTGAGTAGTCTTATCATTTATCTGTCTCCGTTCCCAATCGACTCTTCTTCGTCCTCGCGAGGGTAGAAAGAAAGAGAGAGAGAAAGACAGAGCATGCAACTACTGCTCTGCCACTGTCCTGCTCTCCCTGTCGTGGCTCTGTTCCGCGTTGACTGTCTTTAAAGAGCGGACGAATTTATTGCAGCCACGCACCTGTCGCCCTCCCACCGGTGCAATCCGCGTGGGCGACGGCGTCTCCACCTCCGCCGCGAGATCCGACCGTCCGATCCTCGTCGCCGACGGGGGTTCTAAAGCAGCCAGCTGCTTCGAGTGCACGAGTCTTGAAGCCTGCGGCGGGGGGGGAACGGGCTCACGTGGTCGCCATGAATGCCGGCATTTAAGTGGCGACGGTTGCAAGCAGGGGAAGTTGCAACCGCCGCAACGACCGGTGCGAACGCTTCCTTTTCCACGGGCTGGGCAATAAATAACATCAAATGGGAGGGGGGGGGGACGCAAAGAACGGGGTGCAGAAGGTGGGCGAAGCACGAGGCGTGGAACCCACGCACTTCTCTGTCCCCACACGCCGCAATCCACGAGCTGTTCGTCCTTTCGCTGTTGCGCCAACCCAACCGCTGGCCCGCTGCTCGCACTTTGCACCGCTCGCCAGTAGCGATCGCAGGTGTCCGTTCGTCATTTGCTTAGTCTTTACGACGCGGTCAAGTCACCGGTTGGACCGTTTCTTTACTATAGAATATTTGATATTTCTATTTTATATATATATATATATATATATATATAGAGAGAGAGAGAGAGAGAGATAAAAATAAATAAATTAAATTAGATTAAAAGTGTGGAATTGGCTCGAGTGTTGCTTCCGTGTTCCAAATCGATGGGCGGCTCGGTTGAAGACAGAGAGACAAGCTTTGCGTTGACGTTTGCATGATCGCAACTTTCAAACCGATTTCATGCTTTTCCTTGGACGCGTGAATGGTGTCATTATCTCATCCTTCCATTTCTTTTTCTTTCGATTCAACGTTGACCTTAATCTTAACCTTTTTGGATCCATCATCTCAATAAAAATAATAATAAATTTAATAAATCAAATGATTAATATTTTTCTAAAATAAATTTACTGCTTAATTGATAGTTATATTTAAAATTTTACTGAATAAAATTTTGGAATCTTAAGTGAAGTATATTATCTATCATCAAACTAATATTTTAAATTTTGTATTTAAATTATAATATCATATCTACGCTAATCGATTTATAGTTATAGTGATGGAGAAGGATAAATTATATTCTACATGGATATTATTTTCATAATACAAAGAACAAAGAAAAAGTCGATTAGATTTACGATTTTTACAAAATATGGTGCAATCAAGAACTAAATATTTAAAACTTTATATAAAAGATTAATAAACATACATCAAATAATTATTAGTGTCTTTTAAGAGAGAGAGAATGGATTGTCCAAAAGTATTCTTTTATACTTTTTCACAAATAACATTCTATATATGTAATAAAAAGAATGTAACTTTATGTGAAATCACTGCCCCAATTTGGTGATACAAATGAAGTTGATGGTAAAGTAATTAATGAGCCAATCTTCTAGTAGACTCAAATGGAGGAACCATCCTTTTCACACACCTAAAAGGTTTTCTCCTGTCCTAATTGTTACATGTTTGCAACTATAGATAATTTATATTTTTATTAAGGAAAAATAAAAAGCTTATTTTATGATATAGGCCATAGTGAGGATGAATAAATGATAAAATTGATTATTCATTAATAGTTGGAATTTATTTTCTTTATTCATAAGGATATATAAAATTATATATACATTAAGTATCAAAAAAATTACATTTGAAAAAAAAAATCACATGATTTACACAAAATGATTGGTAAATCCCAACCTTGAATAAGAAAGAGATATTCTACCATCCAATCACCCACTTCAATCACCACTCTTAATTTGAACATGACATTGCAACCATCTCATCTTGTATCCCTACTCCCATTATTCATCTCCTTACATTGAACACAATAGGAAATGTAAGACTACAAAGTGCATGTCTTAGTTTCTTTCATGTGTCAATCCTTCAAAGAGATATATATATATATATAGTTTCTTTCATGTGTCAATCCTTCAAAGAGATAAATAAATAAATAAAAAAAAAATAAATAAATAAATATATATATATATATATATGCACCTCATTCTTGAAAATAGAAACTTTAGAGGTATTTTCTTAATTAAAATAAATAAAAGAAGTTAATTGAAAAAGGCCGTATCACATCAATTAACCGATGCCAGGCTGTAAGTCGAAGGACGCGTGTCCGTTCAAGAACCATTGGCACGTACGCGGTGACGTCAGTATTATGCGCGTGCGATCACACGTTTAGTTGAGGATAACACTAATCACGGTGGTTAGCGAAGACGAGGGGAAGGCGGCTTTATATACCGACCACCGTGAGCCTGCCTTCTTCCACCAAAAGATAGAGTGAGCTCCACCACCACAGGCCAACCCCCCCCACCCCCCTTTCCACTCTTCGGTGAGGCTGAGCGATCCCCCATCCGAAGACATCACAAGGTTTGTCCCCCGATCCCTTCCCCCCTCCTCTGTCGTCTTCTGTCTCCTGTAGAAGAAGGAGAAAAGAAAACAAATCTCATCTTGAGGTCCTTTTCTTCGTTGTTTCAGCGAGAAAAGAGCAGACCTCGGTGTCGTTTTTCTCTTCCTGTCTTAGGGAGGCAGAGGTTTCATAACGGAGATCCAGAGTTTTTTTTCCTGGGTTTTTCTCATCATTTTTT